TTTAATACGAGTACTACTACTAAAAAAAACTTGTTGCGCTGCGGATGTTACGGAAGGAAAACCAGAGATATTAATAATTTCATCACAACTATCAAAGTCAGATTTTTTTTTAAAGCCGTAGAAAAATGGAGGAGGAGGACTATTACATGATGCTGGGAGTGGAGCCAACGGCCACCGAGGAAGAGATCAAGAAGGGCTACAAGCGAGTTGCGCTCATTTATCATCCGGATAAGAATCGTCATCCTAGAACGGAGAACTATTTCAAGAATATCAACAATGCCTACGAAGTCCTTTTAGATAAGGAAAAAAGGGAGCTATACGATCTCCAGCTTGAAGCTCAGAGATCCAGAACCAGAAATGTCCCAAGGCCAGCGGGAACCCATTATCAGCAGACCAATCAGTTGGATTCCCCGGATTCATTTCCAGCTATATGTGCTATCGGCGGAGTTGTATTGGGCCTTTTCATGGGTGTTGGTGCTGTCAAAATGTTGACCTCATCAAGCTCTAAAAACAATTAAATGCAACGAAGTTTCTGCATTCTTTGAAGAAAAAAAAAACAATTGGAAATGTGAAAATTAATTAACAATCAAACGGTTAAAAACATATTAGTTGAGATTAATCTGTAATGATAATAAATAAATAATTTATACGATTGGCAAGCTAAAAATGTGTGTGTGTGTAAAGTGGAAATGGATCAATAGGCAAACTTGTTTCTTTTTGTGTAATTCAATAACTTGATTTCGCATTTCGTAGTGTAAATACCTCCTGTGGAGAGCTTGTATTAACTAAATTATTTTGGATCTTAGATAAAACGACTGTTGAATCTATGATTCAAGTTGCCCCAAAAGTTGGAAAAGTTATTTGGTGCCAAAAGTTTTCGAATGGCCAAAGAAAACTTCTCTGAATTGCGACTTAACTTAATTCTCTAAGACGTTTCATTGATTTCTGTTTTCCTGTTGGAAATTAAATTATTTACCAACTTCTAAACGAATGAAAAAGCAATTAAAGAGTCTGTTATCATATTCATTTCTTCATTAGATTTGAACACTCCCCAAAAGACAAATAATTTCAGAATGTTTTGTGTTTTCATTTTAGAATTGAAATAACATTCCAAAAGGCGAAAGATGTTTGCACTCGTATATGGCCTAATAAATCGAATAAAAGAAAACCCAACTCTTATCGATTTTCTTTGAAGCCTAAAATGTGTTCTCACTTCATTAGCGTGAACTGCGTATTTCTGGAGGACCTCTGATCCCTGGGGATTTCGTTTTTCGCCACCCAAAAATAAGGAATCGAATCATTCGCACTTCAATCATACATACACATAACAGCTTCCTGGCCGCCCTCTCTGCTTTCTGCCAATCACTTTTGCTTTTCCGGGGATTCCCCCACTTAGTGTTTTCCATTTGGCAATCACTCAGACCGATTCACATGTCCGGTTTTTGGGATTCCAACTAAGATGCCGCCTGAACTTAACGCACGCCACTTCCGAGCGAACCCTAATGAGGCATAACCTTTATGGCGGCGTACACTGTCATTGCCGTTGTCGTTGCCATGGACAAATTCAATTATGCGACGACTTAAAAAAAATGGCAATAACACCACAAAATTATATGGATTACTTGATCAAGTTAAAAGCTCCGCTGGATCTCTGGTCCCAGTGCTCTGAAATTTGATAGTGGGCCTTCAATTCATTGGCCCTCTGGACATTGGGGGCATCGATTAGCGTCCGCCGGATAATGATACGGTTACGGATGGGAAGCCTACTACACAGATGCTTGACAATATTGTGGCACTCGAAAAAATTGCAAATTTCAAATGACTTTTTAAAATATTCGAAAATTTACAAAAATTTAAGCTTGAAAAGTGCTTTCTTGCCTTTCCAATTATTTTCATCCTAACGAAATCCTTACTTTAAACTTAATAAAAATGTATTTAATTTAGTAAGTAGTTTCTCTAGCCTAATGACCTTTTCGCCATTAGCTTAAAAAAAAAAAGGAAAGCCAATTTGTTTGAGTGTGGGAGTAGCTGTTAATGGATCCGCTGCAGTGCACCCACACGCGGACATGGACCCGCAACTGAAATTGTAGAACCCCGGACCATAAATAACGATTGCCCGTCCCGTATTCAAATTACCTAAAAGCGGAATATCGAAGTTGTTTTTGCCGAAGGGGGGAGGCGTGAGGCGTTATGATGGGGATTATTAATCCAGAGCCAAATCCCGAAATCCGCCAAAGCTATCCCCCATATTTTCGGGCTAAACTTGGCCGTCAGCGACAAGTTCTTAAGTGGAAAATCGCTGGACCGGTTTCCACTCACATTTCACATATTCCCAAACAGTTTTTCTTTGCGGGTGTGCGTGTGTGTGTGTGTGTCTTGGGGTCATGGAAAATGGGGAAATTGTGGTGGCGGGAAGAGACGGTGATAAAGGAGTTGCGAGTGGGCGGGCATTTTCACTTTTTCGGGTGCCTGAGTTACAATTTGTTTTTTCCGCTTCTCCAACAATTGTCAGGGTTCTTCGCCAGCTTTGTAACTAGGATTAAATTATAAATCTTGCAAAGGGTGCAATAGGTTTTTTCTACCTTTTTTTTTTTTTTTTTTTAATATTTTTATAATTAAGTTTGGGCCATTTGTTAACTAGAATTTTCAACTGACTCCTGACTCTCCCTGGCAATCATGAAGTAATCTCTTTTCGGGCGAAGGAAGTGCTGACAATTTCGTAACTGAATGGGTTATTAAATTGGAATGTCATAGGAGAAAAAGTCAAAGTTCTATTGATTTTTTAAGTTTCTTATTTAAGTATAATCATTAAATTTATTAAATTTATAATAAATACATTAATATTTGTAAGTAACCCAAAGAAATAATATGAAAAAAAGCAGAAGAAAGGTAGTAAAAGTGAAGATCAAATTGTGTTTAAAATAAAATAAATTAAGTGATTCAAGAATCATTTATAAAATCAAATAAAATAGTTACTTATTTAACAAAAGTTAAGATTTATAATTTGTTAATTATAGTAATTATTGTCATACCTAAACTATATATTTTAGTGATGTAAAAATAGCAATTAATCTCAAGAAAAGTACTCGAAAATAATCAGTTGTAATGCAGAATCCATCCAACTAAACACCCTTACTAACTAATCCCTCAGCTAAGCTCTAAGGAAATATTAAAAAAAAAATCTAATAATTACCCCAAGCAGCTTAGGCAAATAGTTTCGCCTTCCGAGGATGAAATTTAATAGAATTCCTGAGGGGAAGACAATCTGGGCCACATAATTGACACATTCCACTTGATTTTCGTGGGTCATTAAAAGGTGTGGTTGCGGATTGGGGGTAAACACTATATATATATAGGAATAATCTGGCTAGTAACCATGGTGTTACACACATCTAGTATATATATATGCTTTATAGGGATTTGTCTAAGCTGCCAAAGCAGCAGTTACAACTAATAACACAACTTTTGGGGCAGCAGGCGTTGTCAGGTCAGCAATCAGCAGCCGGCAGCAGCCAACAGCCAACAGCCAACAGCCAGGAGCAGCCACAGAAACCACAAGGACCTACACTGGTCTGGACAACCCCTGATCATCCTTGGACCAACAACTAGTCCCACCTTTTCACCCTTCGCCCTGGCATTTGCAATTCATTCGAGCTCATAAATCTAAACGGCACCACGCACTTACACTTAATGACATTTTATTACAAAAATTTAACACACACGCCAACTCGCAGAGAGACCCCATTCGACAGAGATAGCCATATTTATGGCCATCAATACGTGCGAAAAAGACAGAACGAAATATATCCAGTCGGCGCCAGGACCTATTTTAATAACATAAATTAATATGCAAATTGGAACAGAATTTTAATTGAAAATCGCTTTGCTAGAAACACAAATTTTCGGCCACGACGATTTCTGATATTTTCGAACTGCCAAACTGGATTCAGGTCAATCATCAGCATTTTGATTGGATTCCACAACTTTGTTGGGCATAAAACAAAAGTTCGTCTTTTAAGTTTTACTACCTCAGGTTAAGGCACTTTAAATTAAAATCTTATAAAAAAGATTTCAATTTTAACTCTCACTTAACAAATTGATCTAAAAAAAAAGGTAAAGTTTTCTTGTGCTAAATGCTTAGCGTTTTTTTATTATGGCCAGAAATTTCTGTTTTCTCATCTAACTACCAACTTTGTTGTAAAACTTCTTTATGCCCTTTGAACTTTCGCCAACATTCAACTCTCTTTCAACAATTTTTGCACCTTTTTCGTGGATAAAAACTTTTGTCATTTCCCTCGCGAAATTCGTATTTTTACTTAAAAAAATTACTAATGTTTTTTGGTTAGATTTTATGATATTATGCCTTTAAGTGCTGACTAACTAAGCTGCTTATTTTCGTTCTATAACCATTTAAAGTTAATGTAAATCTGTTTAAACCTCTTTGTTGGTAAATTTTCTTTCTAAGTTTTTAATATTAAATAGTTCTGATATTCATTTCCATTCCTCAGAGTAGCTATCTCAATTTGCTTCTAAAATATTATCTTTTAAAGGTGTTTATTTAAAGGTGTTCTTCTAAAAATAAAGCCCCAACTTTCCTTGCATTTTTTAATCTTAAATCCAAATAAATTCCCTGAAATCACGCCTTTTCTAAACAAAGTCTAGTTGGAATTCCCCCAATTAACCCGTGGATAGCATAACCCACTGAAGATCGAAAATCTTCGACACTCTTCGCTTATAGATATATGAATGTACGAGAACGATAGTACAGATGGTCAATATCTTGGGCGGGTTTATTATTTCGATTCGATTCGATTCGATTCGCGTTAAACTGCCACACAAACATTGCGGATCAAGTAGATAAAAACATATACACATGGCGATTGGGATTCAGATTGGATTTGTTCAGATATCTGGAATCTATAACTGCATCGATAAATATACACAAAAAACAAAAACACAAAAACACAAAATAGGGAATTGTTTATTTTTCCGGGACGTACGCATGATCGCTATTGACATCCAGGGAGTTCTCCTTCTCATCCGCCGATTTAACGGCCAATAAACAATATTTAATTATAGACTTCTCGATGTGCACTGTTAAAAAAAAGATACCCGAAAAAAAATACAACTTCGCGGCACTTCAAGATCTCTTTGTCGGGATCCAAAAATATATATATAAAGTGTATATATATATAGAATCGAGTTCTTGGTCCGCAGCACCGCGCGTTCGCTGCCAACGATAACAAACAACTGAGCTGAAAAAAGGCCGAGCGCCTGCAACATGTGGCATGCGGCTTTTCCAGGTGCCCCGCCCACACCCGGCGCCACCCAGCCGCCCTGTTTGCCCGCCCATTCGTACTCATTCAACGATATCAGCTGGCAATTTATGAATGAAAAGCTAAAAAGCTCGCCAATGAGCCACAGCCAAGTTCAAGGTGAAAAGCGTTTGCAAGGGGGAAAAGCGCGCTGGGAAAGCTCAGGAATTGGAAGTGATTACAACCTTTCACTTTCGAAAGGGATTTTAAAAGTAACTACTATTTGTTTTTAAGAAATTTTCATGTAGAAATTAGATTTTGAAATTACATATATTTATCTTCCTGATTTTCTTGTTAGACTTTCTCTTATTTCACCTTAGAATTTCCCAAATTTCCCAATTAAACTCTTTCTCTTTCTTGATAAATAACTTATTTAATATAAACATAATTTACAGTAGAAGTAAAATATAAATCAAACACACGGGAACAAAAAAAAAACAAAAAAAAATTTTAAAAAGTTTCCTAAGTAAAGGTTGGAGTTTAGTAATGATGGTAGTTGTGGCTCTGCTGGTGCTGCTGCTGCGCCAAGTTGGCCTGGGCGAAGATGTGCTCCAGTTCGGCATCGCTCAGCTGGTCGAAGATGCCGCCCTGGCTACCGACTCCAGCACTACTGGAACTCAATGCCGATGGCTGTGATCCCACGGGTGGCAGATAACCTACGGGAAATCAGAAAACATAATGGGTTAATCATCAGATAAGATGAAAGATTTTGTTTTTGATCTCACCTTCAGCTGGCGAGCTTCCGTAGGGTGGCAGCAGGGTTACCGATGGACGATTGGGTGACGCTGGTGCCGATTCGGTGGGTGGCTGATAGAAGACCGGCTTCCATGGCTGCTGTGGTGGCTGGTGGGTTGGCGGTCTCTGTGGTGGCACCTCAGGCTGATTCTCTGGTTCCGGTGACTGCGGAATCTGTGGCGAGGCTATGCCAGTTCCAGATTCTGGTCGCACTGGCGTGGACCCCGGTAGTGGTACAATTCCGCCGGGAAACTGTGACTCCGGTTGGCCAAAAGTGGGTGGCTGCTGGGGCAGTGGTGGTTGTGGAGCAGCTGGGAAGAATTGGCTAGTTGGTGGACTGGGAAAGGCCGGGACAGCCGGAACTGCTGGTACTGAGGGAATCGAAGGATTTGCAGGTGCCTGCGGGAACTGAGGAATCTGAGGGAATCCAGGGAACTGAGGAAGACCAGGGAATTGTGGTATTTGAGGTATGGCCGGGATCTGAGGAATCTGGGGAATCTGAGGAATCTGTGGCACTTCCGGTGCTTCAGGAGCAGCAGGAACGGCAGGCTGGGCAGGCACAGCAGGTTGAGCAGGCACAGCTGGTTGGGCAGGCACCGCCGGCTGGGCAGGCTGGAAACTAAACGTAGGTACTCCAGGGAACTGGGGGAACTGAGGCGCCTGTGGGAACTGAGGGATCACTGGCAGATCCACAGATGCTGGAGCCGGAACTCCGAAAGCCACGGTGGGCTGGACAGGCTGAACGGGTTGGATGGGAGTGGCTGGTTGCAGGGGTTGAACTGGAGTAACTGGCTGCAATGGCTGGACGGGTTGGAACTGGTGGGTCACAGGCTGCACGGGCTGGATAGGCTGGATGGGTTGGATGGGCTGAAGATGTGTCACTGGCTGTACAGGCTGGATGGGCTGAACAGGCTGGATGGGCTGAACAGGCTGGATGGGCTGAACGGGCTGAATGGGTTGAATGGGCTGAACAGGCTGGAGGGGCACAGCAGGAGCAGTTGGTGCATAGGCCTGCACATAGGTGGGCTGCAAAAAGGGATACATTTTAAGAATTAGCTTATATTAAAAATCCATTTCTAATTCACGTAAAAATCTCTATTGATATTCTTTTTAGGATCAAAAAAACGAATTCAACTCAAAATTCCCGAAGAGCTGACTCACCTGCACGGCGTGCACGTGGGCATGGGCATGGGCTGGAGCATGGAAATGCAGCGGCTTCACGGCGGACTGGAAGACGACGGGCTTCTGCAGGTGTTGATGCGGATAGTTGACGCTGTACGAGGAGACGAGAGCGTTACCAGGACGCAGGACATACGAGGGTGGAGCCACGGCACCCGACAAGGCAGTTGCCACTCCAGTGGACAAAGCTGTGGCTACTCCGGCGGGAATGGCGCTGGCCACACCAACGGGCAGACCAGTTGGCAATCCTGTGGGCAAGCCAGCGGGCAAGGCTGTGGCCACGGCGGGTAACAGAGCAGATGGAGCGGGAGCAAGAGCTGGCAGCAAACCAGAAGCAGCACCAGAAACCAAGGTAAGTGGCTTCACCAGACCATGTCCACCATGTCCGCCGTACTTTACAAAGTGACGATGTGGTGGAGCAGCGGCAAGGAAGGCACTGCCTCCGGGCAGCTGCAGGCTATAGCCGTAGTGGGAGGCATAAGTACGGGCGGGCCATTGGCCATGCAGATGGGAGTGGCCATGTAGAATTCCCCGTTTGTGCTTGCCGGTTGTGACCTCGACGTCCGTTTCCGGTTCGGTAACTACGCCCGCTGTCGGGGCACTCTCCTCCACGGATTCCTGTGGCGGTGCCTCCTCCGAGGTCACTGTTATGGTGGGAGTTGTGCTTGGGGCTGTGGGCGTAACCGATCTGCTGGTATGACGCAAACGTAAACCCGCTTCGGCTCTGTGGGTAACCAAGATAACAGCCAAGACCATCAGAAGATGGAGGCTCCTCGAACTGGTTAGAAGATTCATGTTGTTTCCTTTTGTATTTCCTCTGGTAATGATGCACTGCTTCCCTTTCTGATATCGTTTCGCGTTTAATCCGTTTGCTGCGATCGCCGCCAAGAAAATGAAATGAACTTCCTTGGTCGCTGTTGTATTTATAAAGCGGACATCGCGGCACAGTGGAGTGGCCATCGTGGTCGTGGAAGATACCCACTGTGCATACCAATCGGTGGTGATGGTGCTGTGTGTTCGGCTAGCAATGCACCAAAGCACCACAGATTGCGGCTCATCGGCATGGAGTACGGCGATTGGGCAGTTTATGACTTTTACGCTGCCATTTCACTTGCCGCAATCGTGGGCCCCACCAGTCCCCGCTTACCCATTGACTACTGACTGCTGACCACTATCCGCCGATTCACCACCACCCACTCCACCCATCGAAGGCGTCACCTCATTATGCTTAGCCCTCTGACCAGGCACTGTGGTTAATACCTCTTAACTTCTGAACTTCTTTTTACTAATTAAAGTCTTTAAAAACCTTTAATTTACAGGTTGCACCTCTCTAAGTTCTTGAAAGACAAACTAGGTGAGTTATCAAAATCCTTTTATTACTTGCAATTTCAGTAGTTTTATTTTATCCTTAAACACTTTCCTTTTAACTATTTAATTTACTAATAAAATGTTTACCTTAATTTATATGGTTTGGTAGACCTGCTCCACTGTTCCCATTAACCGGAATCCACCTACGCATGCGCCGCACGTTTCCGCACGCACAAAACTTTTGCTTTCAATGGGCCTGCATGTTCCGCATGTGTTTTTCTTTTTTTGTTTTTATCGCCGGACTCTTTTCACTTTCGGCTGCCGGAGATGGTCCGAAGGTTTATGATTTTTGGCTGCAATTTAGATACAAATCAAAAGTGTCGTTCCCCGTACATTACATAATCTCCGGCCAAGATGGTGGTGGCGGGTGAATCGCTCTAATCAGGCACCTGGGTGAAAGCATAAATTGTAATAAAAGCAAAGCAAGAGACAATCGTCGAGCAATTACCAATTACCAATTAGCATGGCACGGTCAATTATTTTGATGGCATTTCAATGCTATTATTTGAATTTCGTTAAAATTCAGCATTCACACGCATAAATTTCACCTGCACTAAATCTGATGGTTAACTGAACCCATAGATGGACATATGGCTGCATTATATCACACACTAACAGCGCCGTAAATGAACTTTCGATTAGCCTACATTGATTTTCACTTTTTTTGGAAATTGCGCATATAGTGTTTGGAATTTCAATCGATCGATCATCGCACACACTGCGCCACCTGGTACAGTTTGGGTTTTTGGGTTAGCATATCGCAGCCCGGACATCTAAGTGGGTCTGGCACACAATCCTCAAGGTCTTTCCCAGGGCCTTGCCGGCCGAGGAGATGTCATCAATTTTTGGTTTGTTTTCTTGTGTCTGTTTTTTTTTTGGCACATGTAATACATATATTTGACAAAGAGCCACATAAACCTCAAAATGTAAACACACAGAAATAAATGCTTGTTCAATTCGATGCTTTATGACCTGCCCGACGTGAGCAGCATGGAGAAATTGAAGAAACAACTATAAAAGTTTAACTCCACAAAGGGGTTTCTTAATCGCTTACAAAAGAAGATCACCGCCCCAAGATCATCATAGCTTAAAGCCGGAGTGAATGCTGACGACGCCAAAGGTGAGGTTTTCATAGGACACATGATCGAATCCCGCCTCCTCGATCATCTGCTTGAACTGCTCTTGCTTGGGAAACCGTCGGATGCTCTCAACCAGATACTGGTACGCCTGCCACTGGCCAGCCAGCAGTTGGCCCATCGGTGGGATCACCTGGAAGGAGTACTGGTCGTAAAGCCACTGCATCGTCTCATTGGTCAGGTGACTGAACTCCAGGCACATGAAGCGACCGCCTGGCTGAAGCACTCGATAGGCCTCGGCAAGAACCTGAAATGGTAATGGTATTTACAATATTCTTTGACAGCTTCCCCTGAATTTAAAAAATACTTATCATATCTTTCTTTTCAACTAGATATACCTTATCAACATGCGTGCAGTTCCTGATGCCAAAGGCAATGGTATAGGCGGTGAAACTCGAATCCTCGAAAGGCAGTTTCTCGGCATCGGCGCACTGCCAGGCGACAGTGCAGTTGGCCAATCTGTCGGTGGTCAATCCTAGTCTCTTGGCCCGCTCTTCGCCGACGTCCAGCATGTGCTGGTTAATGTCTGATACGGTGACATGACTAACACGATGCTTAGGATTCGGCTGGTTGGCCAGGTAGCGGAGGTATCGGAAAGAGATATCACCGGTCCCGCCCGCCATGTCCAGAAGTCGCATCCCGTGTGTTGGTCCTAGACGCTCCACGAAAACATCCTTCCAAACGCGATGAATGCCCAGGGACATGGCATCGTTCATCATGTCATAGGAATTGGCCACCTGTTCGAAGACCTCGTGCACTGGACAAAATAGCAAGAAGGTTATTATTTGTCCTGCTAATATGTTTCTATTGTCACCACTTACCCTTTTGCTCCTTTTCACTTTCCCTGACTGTTTGGAAGCCAAAATGCGTGGTTTGCTCCGATCCGTAGCCGGATTCCCCACCTTTTGCCTTCCCTGCTCCCGATCCTGTGGATTCCCGGGCTGACTGTGCCGCTGTCCGGATGTGAATGAATCTTCTCGCCAAGGATAGCAGGTGTGTACTTCTTGTGCTCTGCATTTCGTTAATTCTATTAGGGTTTTCCTTAAAATTTTATTATGAAATAACAAAAAACAGCCGGTTAGGGATGGAAGTTTAAGCAGCAACCATATGTTGAGTTTGATTTCGATATATTAGGGGTATTAGTAATATTTCCAATTATCGAAATGCCGCCAAGTTTAAAAAATACAAGACAATTTATTAACAAGCTTTTACAAATAAACGCAAGAATAAACGTAAAATAAACAGGTTTGTTAAGAAATATTAATTTTTTTTTATTTTGAAACTAAAAAAGAAAAAATTGAACTATTAAATCTGTTTAAACTAGGGGAATATCAATTTTTATAAATTGCTTAAAGTCAGACCCAACAGTAATCTGTTATTCGATAACAGTTTATAAAACTCCAGCATACTTTTAAGCATTCCTGTGAAAAATGTCAATAGCGACTGGCATTATACTCCATAGCAACTTACTGATATTTCTGTTCCCCTGGTACTTAACATTGAAACATCAATCGATTTGCCCACAATTCTTCAATCAGAAATCCGTCAAATTCTTGTTTTTTACTTTTTAAAATTTGAATGTAGTGGTAGCAGTAGTTTATTACCAAGCATATGCAATGATATGTCATTACATATTCGGACCATTATAAGATTTGTTAGGAGCAAAATACTGTCATTTTGAGGGGGAAATAGGGGGAAATCAAAATTTTGCATTTTTGGTAAGGGGTAACATCATCTATTTTTGCAACAAACTGCAAAAAATGTACATTTTTACCTGTGCATGCAGATCTGATGAGCAAAACTCTGTAGGGTTTGGGGAAGCCAAAATTCGCATTTTCGATAAGGGGTACCATCATCAAAATTTTCGAAAAATGGCTAAATTTGGCATTTCAAACTGTGAATGCAGTTTTGATAAGCATAAGAAAACAAGCTCAACGAGGTATTACAATCTATATTTGGACCATTATTGGCCAAGTTATAAGCAAAATACTTTCGAGCTCGGAGAACCCAAAAATCGCAATTTTGATATGGGGTACCATCATCTAAGAATAAGAAAACAAACTTAAAGAGGTATTACATTCCATATTTGGACCATTATTGGCCAAGTTATGAGCAAAATACAGTCGTTTTGGGGGCAAATATCGAGAAACCAAAATTCTCATTTTTGATAAGGGGTACCATTATTCAAATTTTCGAAAAATTGCCCAAATTTGACATATCAAACTGTGATTGCAGTTTTGATAAGAATAAGAAAACAAGCTCAACTAGGTATTACATTCCATATTTGGACTATTATTGTCTAGTTATTGGCAGATAACAGACTTCTTGAGGAGGAAATCGGGATTATTCAAATTAGTCTTTTTTCATAAAATTATCTATTTTGCAAAATATGGCAAGAAATTGACCTGTCCATATTTGAATCTTAAGAATTCTCCACCATAAAAAAGATAAGTTTTATATTTTAAATAAATTTTAGTCTTTGGGGAAAGACAGCTTATTTTTCAGGATTATAAGATACCAAAATTTTACCAGTAAATAGCCAAAATATTGAAAAGAAAAGGCTTTGCATTGCCTAAAACTTCAAAGCATTTAAGCATTTAAAAAAAAAAATTTGTGAAGAAAAATATATAAAAAATTGTAATTTTAACGTATTTTAGATGCCAATGTAATTTTGAATATAAACCGCAAATTTTACTATTAATAGCGCTTTTTGACAAATTGTATCATTTAAACAAAAAAGGAAAATCCAACTGTTTACAACAATTTTTTAAAAAATTTTATGATTTAAACAAAACAGTAAAATTTAAATTTTAACAGAAATTTTCGAATTTTAAGCAAGTTAACTGAATGTTAAGTTTTGAATGTTACCCGCCCGTTAACGGCTATGTAAGTTAACTTCAAAATAATTTTTTCCACAGCGGGCTTCTTGTAATTCCCAACTGGTTCTAGCAGAAATGTTGTGACTATGGCGCTGTTGACCGGTGAAAATCAGTCAAGTCATTTGTGTGTGTGTGTGTTTGTGATAGTAAAGTTAATTTTTCCCACACCGGTCTCATTGTAATTCCCAAGTAGTTCTAGCAGGAATGTTGTGACTAGGCCGCTGTTGGCCGGTGAAAATCAGTCAAGTCATTTTTGTGTGTGTGTGTTTGTGCTAGTTAAGTGCCTCCAAGTGGTCCAGTGGTACTCGCCATCACATTGGTGGTACATGGACATGGCCTCCATGGAGGATGCAGTGCATCATGGATTTTTTTCGGTATTCCATTTTTGGGACTTCTGATGACGTCGACTGGACTGTCCAGTCTGGACATGGCCTCCATGGAGGATGTAGCGCATCATGGATTTTTTTCGGGGGTCCATTTTTGAGACTTCTGGTGACGTCGACATGGACGTGGCCTCCATGGAGGATGCAGTGCATCATGGATTTTTTCGGGAATCCATTTTTTGGACTTCTGGTGACGTCGACATGGACATGGCCTCCATGGAGATACAGTGCATTATGGATCTTTTTGGGAATCAATTTTTTGGACTTCTGGTGACGTCGACATGGACATGGACATGGCCTCCATGGAGATACAGTGCATTATGGATTTTTTTCGGGGGTCCATTTTTGCGACTTCCTTGTGACGTCGACATGGACATGGCCTCCATGGAAGATGCAGTGCATTATGGATTTTTTTCGGGGGTCCATTTTTTGGACTCCTGGTGACGTCGACATGGACATGGCCTCCATGGAGATACAGTGCATTATGGATTTTTTTCGAGAATACATTTTTGGGACTTCTGATAACGTCGATTGGACTGTCCAGTCTGGACATGGCCTCCATGGAGGATGCCGTGCATCATTGATTTTTTTCGGGAATCCATTTTTGATACTCCTGGTGACGTCGACGTGGACATGGCCTCCATGGAGATACAGTGCATCATGGATTTTTTTCGGGAGTCCATTTTTGGGACTTCTGGTGACGTCGACATGGACATGGCCTCCATGGAGGATGCAGTGCATCATGGATTTTTTTCGGGAGTCCATTTCTGATGACGTCGATATGGACATTGCCTCCGTGGAAGATGCAGTGCATCATGGATTTTTTCGGGAATCCATTTTTGGGACTTCTGGTGACGTCGACATGGACATGGCCTCCATGGAGGATGCAAAGCATTATGGATTTTTTTCGGGAGTCCATTTTTGGGACTTCTGATGACGCTGGATATAAATGACAATGCGAAAAATGAACGTCGCCAAGCGGGAAACGAAGGTAAGTGGAAACCTTTTACTTCACCCCCGGCAGTGCTTGTGTCGGTCAAGCGCGATGATGTATTCCCGCGCCCAGCTGTGATCGCTTCCTGTCCATCAGCCCCGATGACCAGATACTCCTCTGCATTACTTTTCCTCTGCTCGGACTGCTGCCACTGGGGATTGATGCATTAATGTTAATAATGAATTACTTCCAGTCCCAGTCCATAAGCTCTGCAGACCTGGTACTCCTCTACTTTTGGTTATCTCTATTTTGGACTACAGCCCGCGGAGTTTTATGGACTACCCACTCGCAGATACGGATAATATTATAAGTCATAGATCTGTATACTCTGCATTTCTGCGCTGAAATCTGAAGCCTTCATCGTCAATCGCATATGGTGGTGCCTGTCATCACTGGACTTTGTCAAACCAGAAATCAAGGTAGGTGGCAAAATTTTTTTCTTTTTCTGCATAAGCCAAGTTGCATTTTTGGCCGAAGTGCCTCCAATGCAATGTGGATAATTTAAGAATAAGTTAAATTAAGCCTGCCCAACTATGATCGCTTCGAGTTCCAGTCCATCTGCTATGGTGATCAGTTAATGCTCTGCTTTGTTCTTCCTCCTTTATAGACCACTTGGAACTAACTGAGGACCTCCAGGATGCCATCGCCGATGATGAACATTTCGCAGGCCACCTCGCCCTTCCGGCTAATGGAGTCGCCCGGCCTGTAGATATAGGCCTCCATTTTAAGCATGAGATCGTAAAGGATACGGATGAGATTTTAAGTCATAGATTTGTATACACTGCTCGAATCTGAAGACTAGTGGCTTGTATTGCACTGATCTTGAATTGAGCTCGCTAATTTCTTTTAATATATTTCTTAGAATAAATCTTTCTTAGGATTTCTTTCTTATCAGCCACTTTAATAAACTATCTTTAACTTGGCCACAACATTTACCTTTCAACATCAATATTATTATTGGATTCATAAGAATGGAGCCTAACAGATGACTAGCCATGGAACTTAAGAAAAAATTAATACAACGGCCAAATTATGCAATATCAAAAGAGAAGATGTTGAAAACACGCCAAGATCAAAAATAAAGTATAAAGTATGTGTTATCGAGTCATTACTTTAATATTTATTTTAATAAGGCTCGTTTAAAGTGTTTGCTTTTTTTGTTGATTTTTAGGCGAAAATTTTTATTTTCATTTTATATTCCCTATATTTAGGCTTTGCGGTATTTGCGAACGAGATAGATTCAAAGTTTGGTTGCTAATTTCAGGGCTTTCTGCTACCAGGCGAACAGAAAATGTAGCAGGCAACTTTTTTCTGGGAGCCTGTGTTTTTATTTCAAGATGGTTGCCATTGCAGACCAAAACATAAAAAAGAGATGAGCAACCACGTTGTTTTCTGTGTCGTCATCCAAGTTTAGCACGATAATCACGAAAATCCAATAAAGTCCTATGTATTTCATTCGGTCGTGTCGAATACCACTGCTCACGTGGCCATCCCTAAGTGTCACCCATGTCTGGATGGAACCCGTTAGTCTAGAGCCCAAAACATAAACAAGAGATGAGCAATCAAGTTGTTTTCTGTGTCGTGTCATGACTTTAGCACGACAATCACGAAATAATATTAAGGTCCCATGTAATTTATTCGATCGTGTCGAAAAACAGTACTCACGTGGGCATCCCTAAGTGGAGCTCATAAATTTAGCGATTTCCACCTACTACTTGATTCTGTTCGCCTGGTATTTTATTGGCACCAGTTAGCCAAAATGCGTTGAAATTTTGATCAGAAAAAAACAATTTTTCTCAGTCAAATTGGTCATTTCGGGATTTCAGTACCAGGCGAACATAAACCGCAGCAAGTAAACATCTGATTTCTGGGAGCCGGTGTTATTTTTCAAGATGGCCGTCTTTTCAAGATGGTTGCCTTTGTCACTGGATGGAAACCATTAGTCTGGAGCCCAAAACATAAACAAGAGATGAGCATTCACGTTGTTTTTTGTGTAGTCTCACGAGCTTAGCACGACAATCACGAAATAATATTAAGGTCCCATGTAATTTATTCGGTCGTGTCGAAAAACTGTACTCACGTGGCCGTCCCTAAGTGGAGCTCATAAATTTAGCGATTTCCACCTACTACTCGTTTCTGTTCGCCTGGTATTTTATTGGCACCAGCTAGCCAAAATGCGTTGAAATTTGATCAGAAAAAACAATTTTTCTCAGTCAAATTGGTCATTTCGGGATTTCAGTACCAGGCGAACATAAACCGCAGCAAGTAAACATCTGATTTCTGGGAGCCGGTGTTATTTTTCAAGATGGCCGTCTTTTCAAGATGGTTGCCTTTGTCACTGGATGGAAACCGTTAGTCTGGAGCCCAAAACATAAACAAGAGATGAGCATTCACGTTGTTTTTTGTGTAGTCTCACGAGCTTAGCACGATAATCACGAAATAATATTAAGGTCCCATGTAATTTATTCGGTCGTGTCGAAAAACTGTACTCACGTGGCCGTCCCTAAGTGGAGCTCATAAATTTAGCGATTTCCACCTACTACTCGTTTCTGTTCGTCTGGTATTTTATTGGCACCAGCTAGCCAAAATGCGTTGAAATTTTGATCAGAAAAAAACAATTTTTCTCAGTCAAATTGGTCATTTCGGGATTTCAGTACCAGGCGAACAGAAACCGCAGCAAGTAAACATCTGATTTCTGGGAGCCGGTGTTATTTTTCAAGATGGCCGTCTTTTCAAGATGGTTGCCTTTGTCACTGGATGGAAACCGTTAGTCTGGAGCCCAAAACATAAACAAGAGATGAGCATTCACGTTGTTTTTTGTGTAGTCTCACGAGCTTAGCACGACAATCACGAAATAATATTAAGGTCCCATGTAATATATTCGGTCGTGTCGAAAAACTGTACTCACGTGGCCGTCCCTAAGTGGAGCTCATAAATTTAGCGATTTCCACCTACTACTCGTTTCTGTTCGCCTGGTATTTTATTGGCACCAGCTAGCCAAAATGCGTTGAAATTTTGATCAGAAAAAAACAATTTTTCTCAGTCAAATTGGTCATTTCGGGATTTCAGTACCAGGCGAACAGAAACCGCAGCAAGTAAACATCTGATTTCTGGGAGCGGGTGTTATTTTTTTCAAAATGGCCGTCTTTTCAAGATGGTTTCCTTTGTCACTGGATGGAAACCGTTAGTCTGGAGCCCAAAACATAAACAAGAGATGAGCATTCACGTTGTTTTTTGTGTAGTCTCACGAGTTAAGCACGATAGGCACGATAAAGCAATTAAATCTTATGTATTTCTTCCGATCGTGTCGAAAAACAGTACTCACGTGCACATCTCCGCTGAAAATCCAATATTTTGCATTATTTTCATCTGATTTCGAAAAACAAATGCTTAAAAACTTTTTAGTAAGACAATTTTCATTTAATCCGCACATTTATATTTATTAATTGTACGTATGTGTGCACAATCCACATGAGTTTCCTCTTATCTTAGCTTCAGATGCCTCTCAATGTCTGTTGGTTTAACTTAAGATTAGTCATTACAACTAAATACCTAATTACATTTTTGCTTGATTTAAAAAAAAAAAATGCCTTAGTTGGGGGTTTCGCTTTGCTGCGCTGCGCTGCAGCCATCGAAAAGACCTTAAAAATGTTACATTAAAAACAATTAAAAAACGTATTTATATATATAGTGTAATGATAATAATAATTATAATAAATAGTGTACATAAGCTGGCGGTTTATTGTGTGTAAACGTAGGCGTTAAACTTAAGCTGTAATTTAAAATTAATCTTTAAATCATTGAGAAAAGTCCATTTATAAGCGTTTTCATTTCGTTCTCTATATATCATCGTATCATATTTCCGTTTCTGCGGGTGTCTGTATGCGATTGTTTTTTATTTTTATGAGCTATGACGAGCCAAAGTCTGATATCTATCATGGATGGGGTGGTGGTGGTATGTACGTGCGTTTAGGTTGTACATGGTTAAGTCTATTTAAAATTAAAACAAAAAAAAAAAGAGTTTCTCAAGCGTTTTCAGCTGTCCGGTATAGCCTTAATTCCTGTCGTTTTAAACATACGCTATGTTTTAATATATAATTATAGTGGTATTTAAATGTATATATATATATCTATATATATTAGGTTAAAGCCTATCCTGCTGCACATCCCTAACTACTCCGCTGTGGATTTATATATTGCTTGGCCTCGGTTTGGAAGATTTGGGGGGATAGTGGTCTCGAAAGTGAAGCCATAACAAAATCACACAACCGGCACTCTCCCAGTGCCCGACCACACTTAGTAGTTAAACTCCTCCTGCTTCTCCGAATCGCTCCGCAGATCGGCCACCAACGGCTCAAAACAGGACTTGGGTATCAAAGTGCCTACAATCTTCTCACCCTCGGTTGTCTTCATGCGTATCACTTGCATCTTGCTATTGGAACGTGTATTCAGTATGTGCTCCACGCGTCCCCAAACGGAAAGCACGGATCCAGCCAGTACATGGTATAAGCGCTGTCGCAAGCCCACCTAAAAATTAAAAAAGTAATGAGGAATTAGATATGGTTCTTGGGAGAAAGGCTCTATTCCTGTATAAGCTCACCTCACAATCGTTGCCCAGGCTGACATTTCTACAGTTGCCGTTCCAGTAGGCGTGCGAACAGGTGTTCACCGACGCATCGTACTGCTCCGTCCAATGCGGCTCCGCCTCATCGCTGGCCACCTTGCGATACTTCTTCTCCAGCTCGAAAAGTGATTCGTGACGAACCTGGAGACCGGTATTTGGTCGATAGATCTGGCACATGATCTCCTTCTTGCTGCGCGACTTCTTTTTCTTGCCGCCGTTTTCCGCATCGGCGCTGCTTGAGCTGCGTGGTGGCTGGTGCTCCAGAATAACCACCATGATGGCGGTACGCTTCTGGTTTCGCAGCTGGTGGGACAAATAGAAGCCTTCGTTCTCGTTAAACAGGTCGGCATATCTGCAGGGAATGTGTGAGTTAATAAAATAATTACATTTTTAGACTTATTCCTTTACTTACTTATCAATGGCCTCCTGCCAAATCATGCCACGCTCCACTCGAACAGTGTGCATCTCTGTAGGTGCCACTCCGGTGGCATGTTTGCGCACGAAACGGATAAGCCGACAACGGGTCACATTCTCACCGGCAGCTCCAAGATCTAATGACGTAAATGTTTATTATCTGTACAAATCTATTGGTTTTTAATCAGCCACACTTACCCACAATGCCCAGATCAAAGCGCCCGCCGCGCTTGGCCTGCTGGATGATTGCCGTCATGGTGTCCGTAAAGTACTTGAATAAACGATTCTGTAGATCCACCGGACAACCAAGAATGCGATTGAGAAACTTTGATATGTTGTTGTAGTCCTTGTCCAGACTTAGCACACCCGGATGGCTTTCACTATTCACGATTATGCCCACACCGACCAAGGCTCCAGCGATGTCCTTGAAGAACTCGCCACTGTAATCCGTGGGCGGTGGTACCAGCGGCGATTCGTAGCCCATAATGGTACGCATCACCGTTTCCAGAGCCTGACGACCGTATTTGTTGTCGATATTAAACTGGGAGAGATCACGCGTCTCTGTGGCTCTGCGATCACCATGGGTAAGCGCTCCTAGCGACTCCAGACGCTTGGCCACGGTGGAGGCGAAACGTCTTTCACCAGCCAAGTCCGAAATCAGAAAGATGTACTCGGGTGCATTAACCTAAACAAAAAGATTTCACTATTAGGAGAAAATTCAATGGGAAGTAATCAAAGAAACCAACCTGATTGGATCGATGGGTACGTCCAAACTGCTGGATGGCTCTGTCGGCGGACCAGGGCAATTCCAATGTGATGTGGACACGCCTGCGCTGATTGAAGACTCGACGATCACTCTGCAGGGAAATACCGCTGGACGCCGCCTCTGAAATGATGGCCACATCCTTTTGGCCATCCATAAAGCGCTGCTTTTCCGTAATATTCAGCGTTTCCAGGGGGACATCTGATTCGGTTCTGGACTCATATTGTATATTACCATCATCTGTTTGAACTACACGACCTCTACGACCCGTCATCTCGGCCACGTTATCGGGACCACCAAGTTCGTCGATCAGTTGATCCAAGGTGTTTGGCGGCAGCTTGGAACCAAGACGCTCTATCTTGCGGAGAAGTTCCTCCTTCATTGTGCAGGCTCGTTCGATTGCATCTTTGGGCGGTGGACCATAGTTTAGCTTGACACCATTAACGCCAACCGGCGTGACAGTGCCCTTGAGTTCTTGCTTCTTTTGCAACAGATCCTGGATCTTGTCCTGCGTAGAGAGCTGCGATTTGCGATTCTTGGCCGCATTCAGAGCGGCTACAACGGTGGCAGACATTGCACTGCCACTGGGATCGGTGGTAGCTGAACTGGACGAGGTGGCCTCCTTTTTGGACTTATCTTTCTTTACCTTTTTCTTGGTTTTCTTTTGGGTCTTCTTGGTGGACTTCTTGCTTCGCGCATTGACCCAGGGATCGATATCACTATCGCTGCCACTAAAGAAGGGATTGAAATCGGAGCTGGCATCGCTAGCCACGCTACGACGATCGCTGTCGACATCATGATCTTCATCGTCCTCATCCTCATCATCCATATCACTTCTAAAGTCATCGTCACTATTGCCATCGTCGCTGTCACTGTTAGAGTTGCCTGCATCCCGCTTCTGATTGCGTTTTCTACCCGCATCCTCATCATCACTATCGCTATACTGCCAGGATCCACTGCGCTTCTTCTTTTTGGACTTGCCACCCGTGGCGGACCCGTTATCATTGTTATTACTTCCCTTCCGTTTAGCAGTCGCTGTGGTGCTATTGCTATTGTTACCCAAGCTGGAGGTGGAATCGGCAATGGAGGGTGTCTCATCGTAGAGTCCGAGAATGCGGTTGATGCGATTACGATCGGGTGCAGGGAAATGACGTTCCACGAACGACTGGAAGACACCTCTGTGGGAAGGAGAACGAGACTAGTAAGTACTTAAAGAATCTTGAGAAGGGAGTATAAAGCAACTTACTTAGCCGTAGAAACAAAGTCTGTGAGCTCGCCATCATCTCGCTCTAATTGATCCAATGTACGAGCTTCGCCGGTGGACTGCAGACCGATCACAACACATTTGCCGTACTTTATGGACTCGCGGGCGACTAGCACAGCATGGTTAACCTTGGCGGCGATACAAAGATATTTGAAGAAACGCTGATGGGATGACCAGAACTGGCCCCACATTGTCTTCTTCATGCGGCTTTCGGCATCGATAAGTTCGGCCGCCTCGGTGAACTTCTGCATGGCCTCCACCCAGAGCTCAACCGACTGATCGTAGATCTTGCGAAACTCCTTGGAGAGCGGCACTTCCTCGATCTTGAAACTGACTCCTTTGAAACTTAGCTGACGAGCTATATACATGCCGCGCAGTTTCATATCCATAGCCACGATCTCCATGGCACCAACACCTCTGCAATATTGATATCGACATAAGCAAATGGAATTGTATATTTATTAATCCAGTCAGCTTACCGTCTCTCCACGGCGGTGATGAAGTCGTTGAAGTTGCCAAAGGCTGTACCCTGTCCCCAGAGACCCAGACGCACCATGTACGCCATATTCTTGGGCTCAGAGGCACCCGTTGCGGATGCATAGACAACACGTGCCTTGGGCAACTTCTGCTGAAGCTCCAGAACAGTCTGACCAGTCTTGGTTGGTTTTCCAGAACCCACGGGACACAGATTCTTGGCCTTGTGACACTCGTCGAAGATGATCAGGCCCTCGAAATCCTCACCACACCATTGCAGCAGCTGGCGGAATCGAGATCGGTACTTCCCCGTCTTATTATTGGACTCGCCAATCAATGCGGAGTACGTGCTGAAGATGACGCCACGCTTACAGTTGTTGTTCACATCGGAGCTGATCTTGGCGTATTTGAACTAAACAGAAAGTATTAAAGCAACCAGTTAAGCATTTGCTAGTCTAAAGACCAACCTTATTGAGGGCATGTACATCGATCCGTGTGGCACCAATGTCGCTGAGATCCCGCTCGGCATCGTACTTGAGATCATTGGAAACGGATATCCAAAGCGCCTTCTTGCGTCCCTTTAAGTAATTCTCGTAAATGATGCCAGCTATTGTCCGACCCTTGCCAACACCAGCACCATCTCCGATCAGGAAACCAGCACGACTTCCGTCCGGTAGCAGGTGATCGTGCGCCTGGGAGGCGTACGTAATGGATTCCAATTGCAGGGCGCTCAGGTGTCCACTGTTAATTGTTTCGTGGGGCAGGGACAGTTTGTAGTAGACATCGCAGGGCTCGACGGAGCTTAGGGAGGCTGTCTCCACAACGGCATCCGGATGCTTCTTGCCCAGTTTCACTAGATGGATGGATGGTAAAGCAGATTATAAATCAACGTTCTTAGATCAACTGTAAATATAACTTACACTTGGCTGGCCAATAATCGGCATAGGTCTCGGCCACACCCATCTCCTCGTAGTCGACCTCATCCTCCTCCTGCTGCACATAGGCAGCCGCTGAGGCTTGAGCCGCCGCCGCTGCCACCACTGCTGCTGCAACGGCATTGTTCACCATGGATCCAGAATTCACCGGCTGCATGGGCGGTGGGGTTGTCTGTGGACGTTGCATCGATTGCATGAACAACTGAAAAACATTGTTGGGTATGCCGCTAGTCAGATATTCCGGATTCATGGCGATCAGTTTCTGCACGGCCTCAACCATCGAATTGTTGCCCTTCACTCCGGTACCAGTTGCTGGACCAGCAGATCCTCCTCCGCTTCCCGCTGATGTGGCAATCGGTGGTTTTTGATTGTTCCCTAGGACTCCGCCAGCATTTCCTCCGACCACCTTAAAAGTCCGAACGGGGGCAACTCCACCCGCATAGTTCACTGGAAGGTTAAGAGGGATTCGGGTTGGTTGTGGTTTTTGTGGCAGGTTTTGTTCGGATAATGATGTAGTTAATATATATATATATATATATATGACACCAAAGTGAGTGAGAGGTGTATATGAACAGGAAGACATCGATTGGAAAGAGACAGAGAAAACAGAGACAAATGGAGGAAAAGAAAGAAAAATAACTTTGTTAGTTAGTCACTCACTAGGATGGCATTAATTAGTTGTTACTACATCCTAAGTAATGTTAGTGTTCTATAAATATATATCTACTGTAGTCTACAGACCTAGGCACTAACAACACAACTTTTATAACCATTCACACATCGACCAAACCCAAACTGAAATCCCTGAAAGTTAGACCCTTCAACATAAAGAAATTAACAATCTTTTCACCAAACAATTTGTATATTTTTTTAAAAACTTATTTAAACCTCAAGAACAGGATATGAAAACTATCCACTTTTCACGAATCATCCTGTTAATAACGACTGGAAAAGCTCGTTCTACTGTAGGGGAAAGACCAACCAAGTAGGTCAGTCGTAAATATCAACCAGATCGCGGGGCTGATGTATAGGTCCATGGTTCCTTTTCGTACGATTATGAATTGGACAGTAGCAACTTTTTCGATTGAGGTACATGGATATCATTGACTTCTTCACAAATGCTTGATTCACCTGGAACTGGAATAGCTGGTGTTCCTCTAAAGTGCTTTCATCCTCAGATTGAGGACTACTCTCTCGAAGAAACTCCCTTTCGCTGGTGGCCCTGCTAATACAGCGGGGATTTTGATAGATGACATCGAAGAAATAAGGTTCCAGACTTTGAATATCATCCTTTTTCTGTGTACTCTTTCTATTCTTTTTTGAAGTTTCCATATCCCAGTGAAGTTCAAAGTCTGATCGCAAATTTTCCACACGAACTATCAACCGCCGCATCAGTTCCGTAATCTCCTTGAGGTCCCCCATTGCATTTCTCTCTAGTTTGGGCAAAAGTTCCTCCTGTATAAGTTGCTGCATCTTCACCCACGCCTTGGAGTGCATACTGTAAAAGCCCTCCATTGCCTCCGCCACCTTTAAGCGAATCTCTCGCTGCACTTTTTCCCAATTGACCTGATCAAGTGGCGTTATGTCCAGGGACTTGGACTCAGGCGTGGGTTCTAGCGGCACGGGATCTATAGGCGTGGCACCTTTTAGTGGCGTGGTAATACCATTAGATTTATCTTTTTTAATCCGCTTGTCATCGAAAGATCTGCCCATCTTTAAATACTGAAAAACTATCCAAAACCAAAGACGAGTTTACACAATTTTGAATTTCAAACTTTCCTTTTCTAAGATTCTTTTCCAAAAATAAAAATTGATATTTTTTAAGAATAATTTAATATCTGTTCGCCTCAAAATCTGTTAATAGAATGAGGTTTGACTGTGTTTTACTTTCTAAAATGTTGAAATATAAAATCAATGACTACTTTGCTAAGAAAACCTTGTACAATATTTCCCCTACAACATTCACTCATTACTTCAGTTTCTCAACCAGTTTCTGTGTCTAATCTTACCTTTGGACCTAATAAGTATATATACTAAATTTCATCCAAATCTAACACCTTTTCACTCACACATTCATATTATTTTTGGTTTTTTTGTTGCAAAAAAAAGGGCATATTCTTGGTTGTTACCAACATTAATCGACTTACTCTGCGCCAATAAAGACGCGGCCATATTGAAATTAGCAGCAGAGGCTGAAGTGGACGCCGCCGCTCCGCCAAAGAAATTGCCACCGGGATTGGGATTACCGCCTGGTGGTGAACTCCTCACCGAATTGGCGGCTGTGGACGGAGGCGGTGGAAGTGGGGCGCTGCTACCCTTGGCTGCTACGTAGGCGGCCAGGTTCATCAGTTCGTTGGTGCTCAGGCTGTTCAAATAGCTGCTGGTTGAACCAACGGCACCAACGCCACCACCCCCACCACCAACACCACCAGAAGACGACGACAAACCACCGGTCGTCCCAGCATTGCCGCTGCTGCTCCTGGCCGCTGGACTGCCCATGGCTAATGGACCACAAATGTCCAGAAAAATGGAAAATCGAAGGGAACAACAAAACGAAACAAACCAAAAACCACCAAAGAAAACAAAGAAAAAGAAAGGGGAAATACAACAAAACACAACATAAAATCATTTAACAGAAATGAATTAAGTAAAATTATGGAAATTATTATATATATTGGGTGGTGGGTTGGATAGATAGATCGGTGGATAAACCAAAGCAAAATGTCGTGTCAAGTGATGGAATAGAGAAAGATAAAGGAAGAGAACAACACAAGCAGCATTAATTAGTGTGACCAAAGCTATAACTTATAGGAGCAGTGCTGCCAACTTTTGGATATTTCTCAAGGATTTCAACTGGTGTTAGTTTTGAGTTTAATTTGAATTCTAATTAATTTAGTGCACTATTAACTAGTCCGACATTTCAGGGTATTTGAAGCTTTGCAAGACTCTTAAACGTTTTAAGATATTTATTTTAGAAATTCGTATTCAAGTATAGTTTCGTTTTAGTTAACCTTAACCTTATCTTTTTATTCGAAAGTTAATCAACAAATATTTTATAAACATTTTGATATAGTTTAAAAGAATTTGAAATCAATTTTTAAACATGTCTTTCAGTTACATATTTTCATATTTATTTAAGACATTTCTCTGACCAGTTTGGGTCATAAAACCTAAAATTGGCAACACTGCTGTTAATATTATTTAGTACTTCTCCCCTCTCCCGTGCTATGTTCTGCTATGTTATTTTCGAATCTAAAACATTAATTACTCACACTTACCCGTTATCGTATTATTCAGTTTCTTTGGCATATTATTTAAATTATTCTCTAGTGCTTTTTTGGTTATTATCGGTAATGTTGTGATCTTTCCGCCCAGCGTCACGCCTCCAACGGTCGCCGATGTGCCGCCCACTATTGTTGGTTTGACTCCTGCTGCGGCTGCTGCTGTTGTTGTTGTTATTATCTGTCGCACGGCGGTATTGTTGTTGCCGTTGCTATTGTTGTTGTTAATATTGTTTTTAACGCTGGTGATTATATTGTTATTGATATTGTTGTTGTTGTTGATGCGCAACAACGATATTGGCTTGATATTGTTGTTGCTTATAACAATTTTGGCGCCACTAATCGGTAAGGGCGTTGCTGGCTTGGTAACCACGCCCACTCCGCTGCGTATATTTTGGGCGTATGTAACAGCGGTATTCAGATCACGACCACCACCTAAAAAATATATGTATAAAATATGGAAATTTTTTGATTAGTTAATGAGGTTTTCCATTTACAGAAACTTAAAGGAAGGAAATTTTTTCTTAAATTAATCCAATTAAAAACTGATTATTTTTAATAAATTTAAAGAAACACATTCCCTGAACCAAAAATATTTTAATTATAATCAAAAACTATAAAAACTAAACACATTTATCAAGCAATAATAAAACCTATACGTATATTAAGTATACGTATATTAAAGTTTATAAATAAAACGAATGGCCAAAGAATGTCAGAGACGACGTCACCCTTGATTGCTGGCTGATTTGATTTTGAATTAATAATGTTGCTACTCGGAAGCACGTGATTCCCCGTTTGTTGTTGTTTTTTGCATGCGAATATTTGATGAAATTTGCAAACATTAGCATTGGTATTAGTACCCCTTCCCATCCTCAAAGCCCCAAACCCCCAAACCTCATTTGCTATAAATCGAAGGCCTCTGCACAAATTGCAGACATACCCAAACCAAAGAGCAGCAGTGCCACCCTCATTTAAGGTAAATATCTAATTAATGAGCAAAGACACAAGGCAAGTACATAAGGTGGACTGTAAGTATGTACAGAGCTTATATACAGCCAAATGTACAATGAAAGGGGAAAGGTCATGTGGCTGATATATAATCATAATTATATGTGCAGCAGCAAGATGGCAGGGGCAGGCAGGCAGGAAGGCACACATGGTCAGTTTAGCCATGGAAATGACCATATACTTATGTCTGCTTATGTACTGGAAGATGTGTAAGGAAATCGTAATGCCTTAATGCCTGTAATACCCCCCGCACAATCAACAACGTCCACTATAGATGGACAGAAGCACGGTCGCGGTCAAGATGATGGTCACAAATCAAATTCAATGCGCTCGGCAGCACCACAAAGTGTCCAGGACCAGGCATTGCCACAAAAAGGACATTATTACACTATGTGCACCATGTGAATCAACAAATGATTAAGCCAGAGATCTAACACACAGGGATTGGGAATCAGATACATTTGATAATTATATGTTGTGGATGGAACAACAATGTTTGCTTTTGAATTTGAGTCTAGGAAATGGTTTGGTTTTAAATAAAGTAAACTGCCTGTAAATATGTTGTTTTAAAAGTTGGTTTAAAATCATTCAACTTGCTCTTAAGTTCTTGACTTTAAAAGAAATATTTTAGAATAAATCATAAAGATTGCTTACTGATTCAGCTATATTTCGCTGTAGTTTGAATTTGTTTAAGAAGTAACACCAAAGATCACTGATTAAATTTCAAAATCACATGCTAATTCATTCCACACTTGATTTCACTTTAAAATAAAACTTTAAAAAGCCAGAAACTTGCCACAGTTTGGCACACCTGTAAGGGGAAACGTGCACCGTTTTCACCTTTGAAAGGAACTTCAAGTTGCCCGCCACAATATGGATTTATGAATAATTGAACGTAGATTATTTGAGTTATTTTTTATTTCAATTCAAGGACTTAATAGCCTGCCCTTCGATTGTTGACGACGTGCTTATGGAGAATGAATAATCAAGTTAAATAATTCAACGCGCGATGTCCAGTCCACGGTTAATGACGCACGGAACCACTGGCTCCTCCCGGGATATAGACAACTATATATGCCCATATAAATCGGGGTTGTGTTCGCAGAGAGAGAGAGAACGGGGAAGGAACTCCCCCCACCCGAGTGACGCACAATCACGGAAATATAAGAACATACATATGTGCGCATATATAATTCCCATATAGGCTGTTGTATATACATAGATATATATATATATATATAATTATATACACCGATATCTAGCAGATCTGAGGTAAACAGAGCTCAGAGCTTGGCAGGACATCGGACATCCTTCGACGACTCCTGGACAGGTGCTGCACAACTGTATCCGTCTTCGGTGACATGAGGCATGGGACATGGGGCATGGGGCAAGGGTAATTTCATTAATGTTTCAGTGACTAATGCAATTGGCCTTTTAATTAATGTTGGTTAGAGATAGCAAATCAATTGCTTGGCTGGACCTTAAAGGCCGGGCCAAAAGGGATTTCACAACCAAGTTGGCATAACTCATTAGGCGCATTATACGTCCTTTGATTTCTTGGCCATCCATTTATATGATTTCCTAATGCAATTGCAACTAGTTTACGTCGTCAACAAACCGCTCATTTAGTTCTTAAGTTACTTGTTGATTTCGGCAATAAGCTGAAGTCCTTTCTATTTCTTACAAATTCAAAAGTTTTAGTTTAAAAATCAGCTTTGATATCACCACAAAATGAGTAGCAAATACAAGTTATTTGGAATATGAGATAAATATATATCTTTCAGATATATAAAGAAAAGATTTCGGATAGCCAATAACCAAAGGCTCTACTTCATAGTTGATACACATAGTTTCTAGCATAGAAAGATATATTTAATATTAATCTACCTTTGGTCTTTTGGAATGTACTAGCAAAGTTTACTTGTTTCGAATAGTTGATTGAAATGGCAGATGAATAAGTTATACCCTGGCCATGGAACTCTCCAACTCCACACACCCACTTGGACAACTCAATCCCTCAACCTCTTCCCTAGACTGCCCCTTTTTCAAACGAAATCCCTCTCTCTTCTAGGGGGAGTACCAAAAAACTACATAAAGTTCCAACTTGGCTCTAAAACTGCAGCCAGTTTTGGAAGTAACTAACACCACCCCTCTCCCGCCCATCCAACACAACAATGGGGCTACCTATAAAACTGTTGTCTAAACAATAGAGAACCGAGTGCCGTGCTGATGCCACCACCCTTCGTCTCTACTTCTCTACTTTTCAGCCTTCAGCCAAATCCCTTTTTGAAAATGAACCCACTTTCCAGCATTTATTGTTGGCCAAACTCCAACAATCCAAAAATCCAAGGCAAAAGCCTCTATGGCTTAGGTTTTGGGGGCATCAAAAATGAAATGCAAAATTCGAATTTCAAAATAGAAAATTCGTCCACTCACCGGGCACTTCTATTTGATCTGGATCTTCGTCATCATCGAAATCGGAGCCCGAATCATCCTCATCGAAATTATCATCGTCGTCATCAGCGTCCAACAGGGTTTTACGCTTTTTCGATGTCTGTAAGTAATAAAAATAGTGTTAAATATTAGTTAAAAATTTCAGTATAAAGAAAATGCTTTAAATTTGACATGACACATAGAAAAATAAACAAGATTTATTATGTTGTTAAATCAATCATAGTTAATCATTAAAATTAATAATTAATTGCTGAAATAATCACAAATATCTTTTTCTATCTGAGTTTTTAAATGTTTATAAAATCACTTTCAAAGAATATATTTTTATGAATTTCTCTCAGTGCACCAGTGAAACGCATGACATCGCGAATAAAAATCGATATTTTCATAGTTTCTTAGTCGTCATGTTGAGCTCAAATATGAAACGCACACTTCAAAAAAATACACCCACTAATTCAGGGGGATTCACACAAAAAAAATATCACACTAACCAACACACACACAGAGGGCCAGCGAAGATGAAATAAAAACAAAACAGAAAAAATGACACAAAAACGCACGAAAAAAACGCATCTATATTCGTAGCACACTTTTAAGGGCGAATGAAAGAGCGCGGGTACTTCCCCGAATGTTTAGAAAAAACGGCACAAAAAGCACGAGGAAAAAAATGCGCACGCCGCGTGAAAAAATGTAGGGGCAATCCCCCCCAAAACCAGAAGAAAAAAGAGAATAAAAATATATATATAAAAGCAGGGAACGGGACATATAAAAATATATACAGGGGAAGGAAGGCACACTCACAGAGTTTTTGTGGAAAATAGCAAAGGGACCAGCGGTCAGATGCCGTTCGTCGCCGGTGCGATGAGGTTCTGCGGATGAGATCTTGCGACCTAAGGAGCAACACCTCTTTGTCCTTAAATTATTTAGCCACTATTTTTCAGAGAGTTAAGGAAATTGTGCGACTGGCTCGATGCTCGTATGGGAGCCAACTACCCAAAAACCTCGTCCGGAGTTCGAAGACCGGAGTTGTCGAGCAGCCAGGCAGCCAGGCAGTCAGCCAGCCACGGGCCACTTTTGCCAGTTTGGAATACCCCCGCCCAAAAACAAACCCAAAATGGAAATTTCACATTCACCAGAAACAGCGAGCGCACGAACACACACAATCCAGTTGGGCTGCAGTTTTTCAACGGCCAGCGACAAGGGAGCGGGTTAAACGGGGTTACCAACGGGTTAAGCAGGGTGTTATGGGTACCCCTTTTTGTCATGGGGTGGGTTTTTGGCCAACATCTCTCTACGGTCAGGATGACGAAGAAAGGCAGGAAAGCAAGCAAGCAAGCAAGAGCAGAGAATGGAGAATGGAGAACGACACAACGGAGAACATAGAACTGGGAGCAGGCCGATAAACAAACGCGAGAGGCCTGCCTGGCCAACCCCTTGTCACCCCTTTAATGTGAAGGATACAGTGGGCTAAGTTGGACACAACATGCCCTAAAAAATCATTTTAATTACCATAAATATTAGTAGAAGATATACTTCATTATAAATTTAAGATATAATTAGCTTCTGCTCATTGTTTGCATATTAATAATAAGTACCATTATTTCGATTATTAATATCATTTAATTTCATTAATCATCATGTTTTTAATCTACCTATGACCAGTAATATAGTCTTATTTAGGAAATTATCTTATCTACCAAATTAGAAGTTAAAATGGCTGAGGTAATAATTCGGGGAACTCCCTAATTTCAAGAGCTATTGCCGTAGACCACAGTGCTCCACTTATGCCCAAAAAGGGGGTTGGCATTCTACCACTCCCACTCCACTATATTCGACGCTCCTGAACATCCCGTCTCCACCTCCCACTCGTGGAAATTCAACGAAGTAGCAGCAACAAAATGTTTGGCATGCAGAGATACGAAGTTTCGTCCTTTATGCGGAATATGCATGTGTTTCCTGCTCCTCCTCACCCACCAACCCTTTGAACCACCCGACTCTCCCTCAACCCCTTTGAACAAAAGGGTTTGGGATCAGTTTGCAAATGAAAGAGGACCCGGAGGTTGGTGGGGAGGTGTTTGTGAAACTTGGAGGACAGGAGGAGCAGCAGCAGCAGCAGCAATCTGTAGCGCATGCACAGCAATTAGAGCAAGACAGACTGCTGGTGTGGATGTGGATATGGATGTGGGCATGTCCTTTGGGGATGGAGAAGGGTGTTCCTAGGGTGGCGACAGGTCTGGTTGGCTCTCGTTCACTGGCTATATGCGTCCATATATACCTTGTACCTCTGTTTACTCCGGGATAAGGCAACTGGCGAGGGACTTGGCCCGAAAGCAGAGCAAACAGAAAGCAGAATGGATGCAGTGAGTACAGTGAATACTCCCTGGGTAGAACACATAACTAACATTCTTAAATTTCATATATTCTTACGTTATTCTTACTAATTTATTTAATTTTAACAAATTAAAAAAATAATTGATATTTTTTTGGCAGATATTATCTAAAAGTTTTCAAAAGCAAATCCTAGCTCATACAATTTAAAAATATGTACCAATAGATTTTTTATTTTAATCACATAACCATAAATTAAATGGTTTCACCTCAAAAATCCTACAGGACAACATTCAAGATCCTTTCAAATTTACTTCTCAATGAAAACATAATGCCCCACTCCCATTAAAAACCACCCACATCTTCGCCTATTTATAGATTGCAACGTTTTTGTTGACACACAAAATAAAATCAAAACGAATGACCTTGCAACAAGGGAAATGTAGAAAATCTCTGGCCAAAAACATGTGTTTCCATCCACCGACAACACTCCACCCGCCGCCCACTCACACAAATAACAACATCAACATGTTGTTGCCAAAAAAAAAAAAATTGGAATGAATAACAAAAAAAATAAGAGCCACAACATTAACCCTTATCAAAAGGGTTGGCGAATTTATAAATAAAAACAAAAAGTGCTGATAAAAGGAGACAAAAAAAAGGACACAAACAGAGAGTAAGGAAAAGGACATGAAAATGTTACAAAAAAAGGGGGAGAAAATCAGCTAATGAAGGGACCAACTCCATGGCAATTCGAAGTTGACCAGGCCGAGGAAGATGTGAATAGCGCAGGCGCCAAAAACACAGAATGCAGTGGCCAAAGCGGAAATGGCGATAAATAACACGGCCCAAAGGTCCACTTACCCACCCCCTCCAATCAGAAAAGCCCTGACTGCAGCAGAGCAACAGCAGCGCAGCTTGTGGGAGGGGCAACATGCATTTCCCAGGATGCATTTCCCAGCTGCAACTGTAAGTCTACAGTGAAAACTCATCGACGGGGATTCCCCCGTATTTGGTTTGAGCCTCGGCTAAGTGTTGCTTATTCCTTCGTGGTTGCTGTCATCGCTGAGCAACAAGTGACAATGAAAACTAAGAGAACTACAGTCAGAAATTCAGGGGGATAAACCATAACAAATTTATAATACTTTCTATGAAAAGGGTTAGTAAGCTGAAACATTTTAAAATCTAGAGCCTTTAATTAATGTAAATTGCCAGTAAAACAATAGTTCTCAAGTCTATTCCTAAAGTAAATCTATATAAAAAAAAACGATTACTTTTAAAAAGTGAAATATAGTATGAAGTTATAATTTTTTCTTCTAAGATGTTGCTAAAATCTCCTGCTAAAAAGGTTTAAGAAATATCATAACAAATAACATTCTTTAAACAGATAAACTTTTTTGCATCTTATAATCACAGAAATAACACATTTAGGTATTTGGAAAACATTTAGAAAGCTTAAAAGAAGTATTAGTAGTTTTAATATTTCGGAGAACTGTTCCGCCCCCTAGAAAAACTAATTTATACTATTATTTAAATGATGCACAAAACCCCCTGCATTTCCCCTGCCCCCACTGGTCTTAGCCCACATGTTGCCCCCGAGTCGCATGGCCTTAACCCTAACCTAGCGCAACTTTTGTCGACTGAATTCGCTTAACTCGTGTGCGGACACAAAAAAAAAACACGCCAAACGAAACTCAGCATGTGTGCGAGAAAGAGAGGGCAAAGATCGTGGCGGGGGAAATGAGAGGGAGAGAAAAACACATGGTTCCAGGCCACGCGAATATACGAAATCAAATGAAATGCGTCCTTAGAAGTATCTCGAAAAAAAAACAACAAAAATCCCGAAACAACAACAAAGTGCAGCGGAAGGTGTGTGTGTGTGGGTAAGGAGGCGAAGGTGGGTGGAAGACGAAGGAAGAGATGAGCGATGCAGGCAAAGAAAAAAACAATAATTATTGAATGAGATGCCACTGCTGCTTCTTCTTATTATTATTCTCTTCCTTCTTCTTCCGCTTCTGCAAGCGCTTTGTTTTTGTTTTATGCACGCGACTGTGTGTGCGTGCGGGTGTGTATGGAAAATGGCAAAAATTTAGCAACAAAGAAATTATATTAAGTCATGCCAGCCAGCAGCAGCGGCGGCAACAACAAACAAACAAACCAGCAGAAAAAAACCCGCTAACAACTGCAAACTTACCATTTTGATGCTCCAATTGCTAACTGTTGTTGTTGTTTGTCACTCCAACTCTAGCTGTTGTTGTTGTTAACCACAAAAAAATAAGCAACAGACCGCGCACACACGCGTTTTTGCCTCTTTTGTTTGTTTTCTCGGTGTTTTATTCTTAAATTTTTCCGATGTTACTTGGTTGTTTGTCGTAAATTTTGTTTAGGCAACTATTTTTTGGAGCTGTCAGCTTAAACAGAACTATTGTGAGACCAGCCAGTCAGCAAATGAAGCGAAAAAAAAAGTATTGTATACTCCGTAATAAGTGTTTTTTCAACGCGTTAGAGATGTTGTTGTTGTTGTTTCTGCGATAATGGCTGAATATATATGTATATATATATCTTAATGTATAGATATATATGTGTTTGTATGTTGTTGCTGCACGCGGTGTTTCGCTTCAGATATTTTTTTTTTATGTTTTATGTTGTTACACCGCAGAATAGCAACAATGCACTCAATGCAACAACATTTGGAATTGGAATCAAGGAGGAAGGAAACGAGAACGAGAAGGAAGCGAGAAAGCCGAAAACACACGTAACATGCCAACTATCGCAAGCACTTCGAGATGCCAACTAGAGCTGGAAAGACATCGATGTCACTATCGATTGCATTGGGTCGATACGTGTTTCATTTAAACAATATATATATCGCAAAAATATCGGTTAAATCACGCTTTTCTTTTCCCATTTTTTTATAAGATATCTGGTCATAAATACATAACAGAAAGCAAATTAACAAATGTTTACAACTAGATAACTAGAAATCAATACTTCCTTTTGTCCAGAGATCGACAGAATGCCTTCGCTTTAGACGTCTTATTGTTGTCTTAGCCAGGAAGAAGCTACATACATGATTGGTCTGAGCTGCTAGACGATCGTTGTACCGACTCGAGCCTTAAAAGTACTAAGCATTTTATTTGGGGTAAAAGATTTTTAAAGAATTTAAATTTTAATCGAATACACTATGCTATGCAAGCGATATTAGTGTGGCCTTATGTAGTGAAGCGTCCAAATGCACGAGGTAGGGGCTGAGAATATTGAAAACTAGTGATATAAACGCTTTGAATCTATGTAATTTCAATATTGTATACAACATTTTTCGCACCCCTGTATTGCAGAATCGTTTGTTGTTAATGTGAATTTTAAGATAATTCATAATTTCAAATAATTCGGTATAAACAAGCAAATCAATGTGTGTTTTCGGTATTTTCTTGCGAATTAGTTGCAAATTTCAGCAAACATCGACAGCAACGAATATTTATCGATTAGTTTAGTTTTTACCCCAGCTCTAGCAGCACATGTGTGTTGTTGCTTGACATCAAAAATTTGTAGGTAAGTCTCGTTTTCCCGCTTCGAATTTCGCCAGCCGCCGGTATAAGTCATTAAAACCTGCGATTTTATAGATTCCACGTCGCTTTTCGCTCTTTGGAAAGGAAAGGAACGGTAGAAAGGCTAGGAAATAGGACTTAGGACAGGATCAGACAGGTCGAAGTTTCCACGAACATTAAAAAGAATCCACAGCAAAATGCCCAACGATACGGTGGTTAAGGTGCAGGAGTATAAGGACTCACTGATCCTCAAAGCGGAGCTGCTGATCACCAAGCGCTTCCCGGAGAAGATTGTCCAGCTAAACGAGCTGCTGGCCACGCCGATGTTTAACGAGCGCAATTTTGATGAGGTGCACCAGGACCTGAACATTCCGGCCCTGCCGCCAGTTTTGGTTAAGAACCACGAGGACAACCAATCGGAGGATGGCGACCACCCGCCAACCAAGCGCCAGCGCAAGGATGTCCTCGTTTCCGGACAGCCGGTCCTGGCATTGCCCACTGGAACTGTAACTTGTAACAAGCCGCTATGTGAGATGATTAAAGTTGTCAAGCCCATCATCAGAACGCTGGTGGAAGATTGTAAGTGCTTTTGATTCTTAAAAATAATTTAAACCCGTAAAAACTGCTAGAATTTCCTTAACAACAAATTCCAACCCCTCAATACTAAACGCAAGTCAATCCCATTTTGTACCTTTTTCACATCTTTCCCCTGTTGCTTCTTACTTGGAAATCACCTCCAAACATGGATTTTGTCAATAACCACCTAGTAATAAATCTATTGTTTTTCCTGCAGCAAATCTACTCAAGATGTGGATCTCCTTTATGATACCCAAGATCGAGGACGGCAACAACTTTGGCGTCTCCATTCAAGAGGACACGCTGGCCGAGATTCAGACAGTGGAATCCGAGGCTGCCGCCTTCTTTGACCAGATATCGCGTTACTTCCTGTCGCGCGCTAAGGTGGTGTCCAAGGTGGCCAAGTATCCGCACATCGATGATTATCGGCGCGCTGTCGTCGAGTTGGACGAGAAGGAGTACCTCAGCCTGTGGCTGGTCGTCTGCGAGGTGCGCAATCGCTACTCCTCGCTTCACGACATAGTTATTAAGAACCTCGAAAAACTGAAGAAGCCGCGCTCCTCCAACACCGAAAGCCTCTATTAGGTATTCCCTAAGCCCAAGCCAGTACTTTTTTTTTTTCATTATCCTACTACTTTATCAACAAACAGCCCGTAGAGCGGACGGTCAGAGGTTCTTGTGGCTACTCGAAAAAAAAAACTCAGCCTATCCATTTCGGTTAAAACTAAAGACATTCAAAATTAACAGCCCATCAAGTTAAGAGCAGAGAAAATCATTATAAGCAATAGCTGTAGCATAACTATCGACTTTATTGATCCATTTGTACTACGTCTAGAATGTAATGTTGAGTTTAGCGCAGAATACAAGAAACCGAAGCTGTATAGATTCCACTAATAGCTATAGCTACATATACTTATGATTAAATAAATCGAACGTTGCCTCGTCGATGTCGGCTCAGGGCAAGAAAAATCAAGAAAACTCCAAAAAAACAAAAAAAAAACGATTTATTAGAAACACACGACCGAAAGATGGATCAACTGAGAATTTGTAATAAAAGAAAACCTTGTGACCTTTTGGCAGAGTATTAAAGTATATTATTTTTTTCATGATGGTGGACTTCTAAGAAATTTCACAATCATTTAATAATAATTTTTGGCTTTATTTTTAATCTTGGCGCCATAAATTTAGCGTGTTCTTAAGAATTTTACGATTTTCGATAACGCGCTTAGAACGGAAAAATATCGATGGTTTCTGCAGCCATTAGTTTTTTTGTGGGTCTTTTGAAAGACAAAAGCTAAATGCTACAACGGCTGTAAAAAAACCTTTTAATTTTGTTTTCCGTTTATTTTACATTTCATTTTTGTAAATAGAAAAAAATACTTCGGTAAAAATGATAATCAGATTTTCATGTATTAAAATAATGAAAGTAAAATCCGGAAAAAAGATTTTGTTTTTTTAAGTGTCTTTGTTTGACATATGCAATGGAATTTCAGCTCAAACATGTTCGCTTCGAACCACCACCAAACAGAAAATTCAAAATACAAAATTTCTTTAAAAAAAAAGGAATCGTATATTAAATAGATAAAGAAACATAATTACTATTTACAGCTAGTATTATTGAATTTGTATTTACAACTAATTTAACTACATCTCGACCATTCACTTAAATACATACACAAACTAATTTCAAAAAACTACATCTTAATTAAGTTGACCAAAAAAATGCGGAAATTAAACAAAATAAACATAGTTTTGAAGGCGTATTAAATTCAATTACTCAGTTGGTTATTTATATATAGCTATGCATTAAGTTTTGTGCTAATACTTTCGTTATTTTTCTTTTGTTTAAGACGTGTCCAGTAAGATTGGAATTACGGTTCGATTTCGAGGCACTTTTGATTTGTTGTTATTGGCAGTGTACTTCTTTTGTAAGCTATATTCGGAATTTTTGCATCGTTATCTTCTCAACTTAGCCTAATTAAGGCTTAATTCTATCTATATGACAATGAACATTTTTACACAGATTATCAACGTTTGGGTGCTTAGCTAATCTTTAGACTAAAGCTCACTACTAACATCAGCTAAATATATCGCTATAGCTTTAAATATTAAATCTTAAATAATTATATTTTCATTTGGTTGAACTAGTGTGCTTATTTTTTCAGAGGTTTTAAGAGCACCATTAGATAGGTTTTGGACATGGAACTTTAAAATATAACTTATTTCGAAACTATATTATTCGATTTAGAAACCAATTAAATCGTCTTATTTTGTAAAATAAAATTGGGAATAAAATTAATTTTTGACCGATCTATCTCGAATCTCTAGAATTTGCAAAACTACATATCCTAACTGTTAAATTAGCATTTTAAATGGTTGGCTAAGCAATAGATTTAGCTGATGTCAGTAAAGGAAGCTCAACTATCCATTCCATCTAGTCAAATCCATGGAACTGAACTTAGCCTGCTGTATTAAGTAAACGAAATGGCACATTGAACCACAACCCACATGATCCACTTGACCCACTGTGACCCAAATGAATCGCTGTGACCCATTCGATCACATGTGGTGACCCCACCAGGCGGCACTCGCCTGATAGTAGCCATCATTTCCCCAGCTGAGGATGCTGAGCGGTGGCGGTGGCGGCGTCAGAGAAAGCACATCCACATCGCTGTCATTGTTGTTGTTATTATAATTATTGGTTTTTGACTTTTCCTTAGTTTTGCGCCAGCCATGTCGTGGCTGTGCCGGAACCGGAAGTAGCAGCTTTAGACGGCGTCGACGCCTCCGACGGCGCACCAAGTCCCAGCCGACAGTGCCCTCTTGTTAGAAAACGTGAAGCGAGTTCTTTGCCGGCGCTAGGAAGGGCTTCTCCTCGTTCATCTTCTCCAGATTGCCGCTGAGCGTCGGATCGGTGGGTCGTATGCGCTTAAAGAAACCGCATTTCCATAGCCCATAGGTGAATAACGCCAAAAGCAGCAATCCACCCACGATGCCCAGGATGATGATCAGCCAGGGTATCGATGTGTCTCGCTGTTGGTTCCTTAACTCCGGATAGGCTCGCGTCTCCACCTAAAAGACAGAATAGATATATATTTATAAAATTCCTTGATGCGTTCATATTTAAGACCTTACCTCTATGTTGTTGTGATCCATCACCTCGACGCCATAGTCCTCGGGTATTTGTGCCGTAGCCGTTGAGAAGATTCTTACCCGTTCCACACGGGGATATTCACTTACCAGCGTGGAGTTCCATAGGCGGGCCTTGACCACCACTTGGGCCTCGGATAGGGCGGGCATATTCAAGATTTCGCACTCTATGCGAACACAATTCGTGGTGCCCTTGTTGCAGTCCAGTTCCACGATATCCTGCTTCTTACCATTGGATCCCGCATTACTGCTACTCTCCGAATCGTACATTAATCTCTCCAGCCGGGTGACTCGTTCTAGGAAACTGCGACGTACTCGATTCCGGGATGCTTGAGAATTATCCGAATGATCCTCCCGATTGCTACTGGAATAATATGTCCTCTGCGAGTGGATCAAACTCTTGTTGAACGAATGACGAGATTGCGAGGGGAACATCCTCAGCTGTGCCGGAGCATTCAAATATGCTGGATTTTCCCTCGAACCACTGGCCAAGTTTAGTGGATTGACATATTCCTTGGCCACATGACATTCACCCTGGCTAACCTCCACAGTTGGTATTTGCTCCAGGTAGAGCAGATATTGAACTGGTCGACCGCTCTGAGGATCACTGTACAGTGAGTATGGCCAGTAAATTACCATTTGGACCTTTGGTGCCGTCGATGGTCCCTCGTTGAAGATGGTGAACATGTGATGAACCTGGGAACCCACATCGTCCATTCCCATTGGACCCTGTATCTCGGCATCGGATACGGAGGTGGTACTGCTAGCCTGGGTGGGCACACTCGATCCACTATAGAAACTCTGCTCGGGTATGGCCCAACCACGGAAATTCAACTTTGCCCGACGCACCACCTGAATCAGAAGATCTCTTTCGGGACGTTCCCTCCCGACCAATTTTGATGTGGTATTTGCAAAGATATGGAATAGCATGGACTTCTCGCTTGGCTCCAATCCTTTGGGCTGGAAACGTATGGTCACGAATGTTGTGGTGCCACGCAGCATAGGATTACCCAGACTGCAGGCCACCAAAGTGGTGTTGTAACTGTTGCAAGTGGCATTGGTCTGTGGGTTAAATGAAAAGATAGACATATAATAGAGTCTTTGAAGACGTGAAGGCATTCCCGGTAGGGACTTACCGGCTTCTTGGTGGCCACATAAGACACTCCCGCTTGATGGGCAATGAAGAGTTGAGTTTCGTAAGCAGAATCTGCCAGATTGCTTACATTAATTCGAACCTCCAGTTCGGTCTCATCTAGGATTAGGGTATAAGCGTTGTCTACGGGATAGATGAAGAAAAATTTAGTTATGGGTTTCATAAGTATCTTAGGTTACCCCCAACTTACCTGAGGACTGTGTTATGTTTGGTTCAGCTCGGATGACCAGATTGCTCTCACAGAGATCGTCATCGCCGCAGTCCTTCTGGAAGGTGCCCTCGAAGTCGATATGCGCCTGAGTCTGGTCCAATATCGGATTGAGACGTGTCAAAGCGGACTTGGCCAGTGGCGGTTCCACTAGCGAGTACTTCAATCTAAAACGCACCGGAGTCTGGATATCCCGGGTATTAGCCTTGATATAACCCGTAACAGCTTGACAGGCCATTATTCCATTCGTTTCGACTGTTACCACTTTACTGAAGACATTGTTGCGTTTATTTTCGGGATCCGAGAAATAGACCCGTGAGAATTTCTTTAGATGATCAAAGGTTTCCGCCTCAACGCTATAGGCCAACTGCAGCCTCTTGCTCTTCTCATCGTATGGATCGATGCTGCAGCAGGCTTTAAAGGTAAAACATGTAAGATTACTGGTTGGATCTGCCAGACAGCCTGGCTTATTGGGATCCATGTTGCGCAGCTCCTCGCGCGATACGTTCGTCTGGATGCTGATGATGGGTCTGGCCAGCAGGATCACTGCTGCTGATGAGTTAAACGCTCCAATTACCACATCCGGATAGGAGTTGTCATCCAAATCGGTATTGCCCGATATCGAGATGCCAAAGGTACTTATCGGCTGACCATTGGGTATGGTGGCCCCACCCAATTCCGAAGCCTGTATCTTCTGTGCTGGCTTGGCATTCAGTCCCTGTTCCGAACCCAAATAGATGTAGACAACACCGTTACCCTCGTAAGGTGCTCCCACTGCCAGATCCTCGTAGTTATCCTTGTTCAAATCTCCGATATTGGCCAGGGCCAAGCCAAAACGACTCTCCAGGGCTCCCGTCAACTTCAGCGTATACTTCAGGGGCAACGTATCATTGAAGTTCTGGTAAACATACACGGCTCCACCCTCCGTCTTGGTGAAGTACAATGGAGCTGACACTATCAAATCCGGTCGACGGTCACCATTCACATCGGCGGTGGCTAGTTCGTAGCCAAAGCTTGAACCAAATTGCTCACCATCCAGGATCGAGTGAACCGGTATCGGATTATTATTGGACTTGTCAAAGATTACAACCTGCCCATGGCCTTGGGAACGTGGTGCTCCAGCCGCGTATGACATTTCTCCAAAGTATTTGCCACCGGTCACCGACATGCCCAGATAACTGTACTTATCCACCGGCGAACTCGAGTCCGAGTGATCACTGTAATAGGTTGTCTTGTCACGCTGCAAATACTCTCCGCCCACCTGGGTCACCCATATGGATCCACGCCAAGTATATGGACCAGGGGAGCCCAACACCATGGTGTCATCGTCCAACAGAGCGGCCGATGTCCCCGCCTGACAAAGTCCATAGTCTTCATGTTGTCTAGGAATTAAAGGAAAGTTAAGATGGTTAGTAGGTCTCACCATTAGTTAGTAATATCTCCTAAAACTCTTCTTACTTAATTGCAGATATTTGGAAAAACCATGACTATTTCCATTTCAGTTAATTCCTGATTAATGTCAGTTTTCCAAGGACATGTCTTGCCTATCCCCCTCTTCCCTTTTGGCATTTTCTATTCCCGTATCGGGGACATTAATAGATGACCATGGTCAACAGAAGGACTCTTTGGGCGCCCGTATCTTTATTTCCTCGCCATTTGTCTATTCCCGAATGGAGTTGTGCGTTGGACATTAATGGATGACCAGGGTCAACATTTGCCTGTTGACCGACCAACACATCCTTCTGTTTTTCACCTCTTTCCCAGCTATTTTTTCCCTCATTTTCTTTCTGTTTGACTTCCTACCTGCTCCCGAATCGAGTTGGGACACGCGAGTTTCAGCTCGATGAAAAATTGCATATTCAGAATGATGACAGGCCATTTGCCCCGGCCACCTTTGACCACCACCAGCACCACTATGTCCCCCCCTCGGCGCCCAACCGCTCCTTGATTTTGGTCAACATGTGGGTGCGGAATCCACCCAAAGTTCCCTCTCTTTCAACCATTCCTGCTCCTGTCATTTAAATAAATTAAATTTCACCTTTATGAGTGTGCGTTTTTAGCCTGCAACGACGTCATCGGTGTCACACTTGAAGTGACCCTGCCCCAACCTTAAAAACCTCACTCCCGCTGCCGCCCCCACACATTGCCACACACACGCTGCATGCTAATTGGGCGAAACACCCCCGCATTATTCATCGCTGAAGATAATTCACCTTGACACTTTTCCTGTTTTCTGTCTTTCGGCTCCCTGCCAGGAATAATAATAATAAAAACAAAAAACAACAACTGACCCATGTCAATGGTAAGGAAAAGGGAATGGATTGCCATGATTACCTCAACCTGATCGATAGCGATGACCTAGGGCAACTGGACTACATATGACAGTGGATTGTGTAACTCTATAGTGATGAAACCTAACTTTTGTAACTAAATAGTTTCACTTTCAAATTCCCTATAGATCACTCACCTCTGCACTGGTCGGCCTTTGCAGGGTTCATGGACCTCCTCGAATTCCAGATCATTCGTAAGAAGATAGCAAAGACCCTGGCCATAACGATTCTCCCGAACGATGTACATATAGCGATGGGCGCAGACGATAACCTGTGATCAACATATACAGTTATTAGGTCAAATAGATGTTAGTGATCTTAAGGCTCTAGGTCCTTGATCATAATTATGATCAGTCTGTAATATCTTGGGCTTAACTTGGGAATGAACTCACCTTTCCCCCGGATCCGTTGGCCTGCAGAGGACTCGATCGCACCGTAACGCCCATCCATTGATCTTCCTTGATCTCGTCATTGCCGGGCTGTGATAGGATTTCGCTATCGAAAGCTGTTCGAAGAACGAAGATCGAAGAGTTCGGAGTGCGAAGAATTCGGAGATCGCGTTCGAAATAGGGAGAGAGTGCAGAAAGTAATACCAATTTTAGTAAATGCCAAAAAAGAGTGGCGAGGTGTGTGATAGTGTGCGTGTGTACAAGTTTGTGTGTTTATATATATATGTGTGTTTGTGTGTGTGTGCATGTCAGCAACAACAATAATAATAATAATAATTTAACATCAACAACAACAACAATAACGGTAAAAATAATTAATAACTTTATAAAACTAAGAGTAGTATGCATTAGCAACAGTAGAAATTTCATAAATGGTAAAAACAACAGTAATCATTCACAAATTTACATACGAATGTACAGTAGATTAGGGTGGACCATGTTTTTATTTTTTAAATTTATATATTTAAAAATGTGACCCTTGTTTAGGGGAAAACTTTTGGGTGCTTCTGTGGTTTCTAAGTTAAGATGAATTCTCATTTTAAAATTTATTACACTGCGGAACATGTTTAACATCCGACTTTTTAAGCTTAAAATTAAAGTCAATAGGTTTTTAATTTATGATTTCTTCTAGGATCAAATCATTTAAGTAGTTTTCTTTTACAATTTTAAATCTTTTCAAATTCCTAAATGTTTGAACATTAATGTTTATCAAATTTGCAAATTAATGATTATTTTAATGAGTATTTTTTGTATTTTACAAAAATGGTTTTCAGGAGAATTGATGTGTTTTTAAAATATTCACTAGTTTTATATTAACATATCTCCTGAAATAAAAATAATATGTATGAATACTACCAAAGATAACCCCCAAGCTAAAGACTACACAGGTCCATCCGAATTTCCAAATCCAACTGGAAATCGAAGTTGAAACCAAAGCTGTGAGATGCAAATTCCAAAACCAACTTCCAACTCAAAACAATTCAATTATTTACAGCTGATTTCGAGGCAACATGTTTTTTGATTATTTCTTTCTGCTTTTTTTTTTTGTTTTCTGTTTTTTAATGTTGGCGGCACGTTGCACAAAGGGGAAAGGAGAGGTAAGAGAAGTGGCAAGAGTGGTAAACAAAAAAATTGTTGATTAAACGAAGCATGAAACGAAGCAAAAGAGCGGAAAAACAAAAAATGGAAAGCGCAGCCGCAAAAGAGACAGACAGGCAGAGCTAGAGCAAGAGAGAGAGCCGAACAAAATTGATTTAGAATGCATTTTAAAGCATCAAAGTGTTGAAATATGATAAATGATTATTACACTTGCAAGGGGAGGAGAGCAAGAAAGAGCCACAGGGAAATTGCAGTGCACAGGGAAAATATTTCCAATTCAATTTCAAACTTCACTTCAATATTTGGCAAGCAATTTCAAGTTTAAAAATGATCTTTGGTGGTCTTGTAAAGTCCTAAACTTTATAATAAATCTTACATTATATTCATAATTATTTATTACAAATTTCTTGCAGTGCAGCGTTTTCTTTTCGGACTTTTGTCGGTTGCCTTGGGGCGTGGGCCGTTCTTGACGGGTTTGACGCGTTTTAAAACGCGCCCGTCTGTCGCGTCTGCGCAGTGAAAGTCGCGCAGCTGGTAGAACCGCCCACTGCAACTCCCCTTTACCAACAACCCCCCACCCCACCCCCTTCTTCTTATTCATCTCCTCCTCTGCAATTTCTCCATCTTATTTCTTGACATTGACTGCCAGAGTCGTCGCGAAGAATTCAGATTTCTGAAGGTAATGGGCGGAAAAAAAGGGGGTTATGGGTAATGTGCAGTAAATGCAAACAAAACCTCACCCAAAAAACCCCCTATTTTCACCGCCCTCTTCTCAGTTCTTCAACGCACCGAAAATTCCGCGCTATTTTCGTTTAAGAATTCGCATATGCGCTGTAATTTTTACAATTTGCAGTTATTTTTATGCCTCTGCCAACATTTGTTTTGCCTTTCATTGGTGCACTGAGAGAAATTAGCATGCATTTTACTCACAAAGATATTAGTTTTGAACTTAATCAAGTTATCTCTACATTTTATAGGCCTATTAGGCCATTTAACTTTTGATTTTTGGGGAGCTAAGTTGGTTCTTTAAAAACGACAGAAATTTTAAAACTTTTCTCTCTGTGCAGCTGTTGTTCTGCATTTCGGTTTGGTATTCTTTTTATTTCTGTGCTCATAGTTTGAGAAATTTGTCACGTTCTGGGGCGGCGCCGTTGGCAAAGCCCACTTCTTTGGCTTTAGTAGGTTTTTTTTTTAGATTTTTTAGACGCCGTCTTCTTCTTGAAACTTGCCACGCTCTGATTGCTAAAAGAGCAAAGAAGAAGCAGTAGAAGAAAAACTGGAGGAAGAAGCAGAAGCGGCTGAAGAAAATCCGGTCAAAGTGACGTTCAAAATAAAGAAAAATGCAGACGACCCAGTTCCATGTTAACACTCGGCTGACGGAAGGGGTCATAAACACCCAGCAGGGCAAATGGATTTGCATGCCAAGTGGTAAGTGAAGAAATATTGTATACCCTTTTCATATTAACTTGTTTTTAAGCAAGTTTTTAAGTGACATTTTCCAGATGAAGTTGAGTTTATTCATAACTTCATTACTTATAATGCCATATCAAAAAATAGGACTCTTACATATTACTCATTTATCTATAAATATTCTAAAGTATCATTATTATCTCATTGCATTGCAAATTTCTGGAAAATCCAATGACAGCCTTGTACAAGGGTGTTAAGCGATGGAACCAGCTGTCGGGGCGACTATATAATTAGCGCTAAATGAGTCGCCAATTGAAGCCGCCGAAAATGTGAAGCCACGTTTTTAGTGGGGAGAAGGTCTTGGGGATTTCTCAAGTGCCCCCTCCTTTCCCCATTCCCAAACCATATTGAGTGAAAATTCCAAGAAACAGTTGGGGCATGCTAAAGGAGGAAATGCTCAACATGTGACGCCCGCCGATAATGAAGTTGTCGCTGGAATCGAAGCATGCAAAAGAACCTCAAAAACGAAATATTCCACAAAGAAAACTTTGGTAAGTGAAGAATATTTTAAGCTTAACCGAGTAATGGAGACAGATTATGGTGATTAAATTTATATTTATTAGATTAGATTTACATAAATTGATGTGTCAGGTTAGCAGATGTTCCATCTTGACTTTGCAATCAATCAACTATAGAGAATATTACCTAATGTTGGTCTACTTTGCTATCAATCAAGTACTAACTGTAATACCATTTATTTACTTAACTTATCACTTTTAATTAATCAATAACCCTTCAAGGTACTTGCCATACTAAACAGTAGCGTTTCTTTTACAAAACAGTATCAGAATGTCATATATATGTGTGATCAGGTAACTGGTTATAAATAATCGATAACTGATTACAATAGTTAGTCATATTTAAACAATAAAATGTGTAATTTAAGCTCATTTTCATACATAATTATAATTTCTGATTGCAATTAGTGCGCGCATGCGTAGTTGGTAGGTCAGTAAGAGTAAGAGTGAGCGAGAATATAGGTTGGAAAGCAGAATGGCGGCCATAGGCATGCGTGCGTGACTGTACATTCGGTGATCGGAGATAATACAAGATTTGCAAGATATATATATATTATATATACAATACCATATATATGTACAAGCGATTTATATACATTGTCTGTAGAATAGGAAGTGAATGGGTGCACTCGAAATCGAAAGTATGGGGGTTAATTCAACGCAAAATCAAATCAATAAGTGAACGAAATCAAAAGCGCAAAACCAAAAGGTATGGAATACGGATTACTGATTAAGGCATACTGGTTATATATATATATATCTATATATATAGGATATATCTGTTTCAATTGAATACTGAATGAAGTGTTAGCGGTTGCGATGAGATGCGCGATCCATGATCGGGTAAATTGGGATCGGTTTTTGGTGGCAAGACAACAATTAAAGCACCCAAAACCACTTACACTTATCACTGTCATATGATCCGTTCGCTAAGGGATTAGTCGTTCGTTCGATCGATTTATCGATTTATCGAATGGCAAATATCAAAAAGATTTGTCAGTATTTTGTTTTTGGATAGTTTTGTACGGGTTAGGAGGCAGAGATACAATGGAATTTCCCAGTTATGCCCACCGAATACGAATTTGGATATTGGCGGAACCAAATGCATAGGTAAAAGGGGGGCAGAGTACGAAAAATAAAAACATAAGAAAGAAAAAAAGAGAAAGAAAGATCGAAATAATTAAAAATTAAATTAAATTGTAGTGTTCTTTTTTTTTCTGTTTAAATATAATATTTTGATTAAGATGCTAGGACATAAAATGGATATCTATACAGTAGGTACTAGATAATACGAGATCATACGAGTTATTATAATATGTGTGCTCATCGTGTGAACGAACGATTCCTATGACTGATCGCTTGCTAAGTTAATCGTACGATTCAAAACAAGTGATCGATAAAAACGATTCAACATTCGATGGGAAAACCCCAATAAATAAATGTTGGTGAAATTTTTGGCAGCCTGATTGGTTTTTCGAAAATTCTAATTTCATATCCAATGATATATCGAATTAATCGCCTGGTTATCGATCACAGCATTCTCTCCTACTTAAGATTAAAAAATAAAAGAGTTAGATTTTGTTTAGTCACAGATCTCTGTACAGCATTTGGCAATCGTTTATGTACAACTGGCAGACTAGACTAGATCGGGATCTAAACAAATTAAGATTGGGATAAACTGAAAATGCGAAACGGTTAGCTGGAAGAGGTAGATTGGCTTGGTCCCGGTTGACCCTTGGACCCTTTGGCACTCCGGTTAGTCACACTTGGTATTTGGGAGCAGGAGGATTCAGGATTAGCGGGGTTACCACGATACCGGACAATCTACTACTATAACTAGATCTATGGCCTACAGACTGGCCAAAAACCAATCAACCTTCACCAATGGAACGATCTAGAGGCTTAGAGTAGAAAATAAAAAGGGAATACAGATACCAAAAGCTCGGGTTAGGAGTTATCGACTAACTTGAGATTATATACGTACGTTCTAAACTCATTTTGTTTATCTTTTGTTTTTACTCAAAACTAAAAATATTAAGAACCTAGAAACTTAAAATGTGATTTATTTTAGAGCTATGCCTGGAGATCCTAGTTATTTTTAAAGCTATCATAGATGTGATTGACTTACATCGCCTGCCGTCAGTGATCACTTGTTGGCAGTCATCGGAACTTTGTGTCATGGGACAACGCCAGAGGGCGCCAGAGTGTGAAGTGTTCGGCTGTAGATTATGATCCAATGGAGCTCCCACTAAAACACTGCAAAGTAAAGGGAAAATATTCAGGTTAATACACATTAATCATAAGAAGGTGATATCATATTATTATTAAGGTTATGATTTTTTCTTATTTGTAGCACTAAAATATAATTCTAACTTCCTTTTAGAGCTCATTAATAGGCACTCCCTATCATAATCATTCAATCAATATGTACTTAAGCTTCTATCAATGCTAAAACTCTGTCAACTTTTACACATGAATGATATTTTTGATTATACACCTGAGATATTTTCGATTAGGCAACATTTTGTTGACTTTAACACTAACATGATACTTATTGATTTCCGCTCAACTGGGAAATTACATATTTTTGTAAATATTTTTGCTGTCCATATATACATACGACTATATCTTTCAACTTGAAGTGTTGGCAAACTGGGCTAACCACAAGACAAGCGATCTGCGGTCAGCTGCAACTCCGATCTGCTAGGTTATAGTTATATATATATATACACATATAGTATGTAGCCATGGCTATCTACTAATTGCGGGTCGGCACTTTTGCTCCGACTGGTAATCGATTTGTAGGTGGGTTCCCACTCTGGCTCCAACTCCGACTCAGACTCAAAGCGACAATTGCGACGACTTGGTTCATTGCACTTCAGTTGGCTGTTTGGATTTTGGCTTTTTCTTCTCTTTGTTTTTTGGGGCTTGGCCCTGCCGAAATGTAATTACTCTGAACGATGATAAACTTGTGCAATGTGGTGGGTGTAGATTTGTTAGGAGGAGGGGGTCTTTAGGGGCCATGGGTGCGTCTGCACGAAAGATTTCGCTAATGAGCAGTCAAATTACGAAGGAGTAGCCAAAATCCCAGCAGGATATATGGCGAAATGTGGTAGCAAAATGTAGGTAGTAACTACAAGTTTTATGGCTCTCTAGAATGTTAGCTAAAGAGGAGTTTTAAAGCGATAAAAAACTTAAGTTAAGTTTAAGGTAACATAAGTAGGATATAATAACCAGCTTTGGGGTAAATTAGTAATTACATAAAAATAAATCCCAAAGAAAAGAAGCTAAAGACAAACTTTATAGTTAAATTAAACTTAAGTAAATTTAAATGGCAAACAGAAACTTCAAGTTAGGAAAATATTTCAAAAAAAACAAGCTGGCTAAATACCAAATACTAAGCCTAATTGCTGAGACATGAAAACCACGAAAAGAAAGACAGTTCTTCGACGCGAAACGTCACCCAAAGACAGTGAAAACATGCTAAAGAAAACACGCTAAATGGCAACAAAGTAGGGCTGGCAAAAAAAGGGGGGGACGGGGGCGTTTAAATTGCTAAAAAATCAAACACAAAAAAAAAACAAAGAAAATACAATAAACTTAAAAAAAAAGCGAAGAGAAAAAACACCCACGTTTGCTCGCTTAACGTGTTTAACATGAATGTTCATTATCCTGCAGCCGTAAGCTCAGCCATAACCCGCAACAACAATTGCAACAGCAACAGCCACAAGCAACAACTGCAACTTCTGCGACAACAACAGCTGAAAGTGCATGTACGACAACTACAAAACACGAAGGCGAGGATTGGGTTTATGGCGGCCATTAAGTGGCACCTACACACACCACAAGTCCCCGAATGCACTGCAAGAAACCGGATTGGGGGTAAGTATTTTTTAGAAACCAGACTTATAAGACATAGAAATTTACTTAAATAATATCAATATTATATTTTTCAACTTCAAAAAATTTTAAAATTCCGAACCTAAGCTCTGGTAATCCTTTTATAACTAAGCCTAAAAAATCTAATATTTTTGACTAATCTTTAAAGTTGCTACCAATCATATTTATTTCATATAATACCTATAAATTTCCATAGAATTTCTCTCTGTGCATCAAACCTCAGCCATCAACCGTCACAGCAGCAACATCAACAGAAAAAAAAACGAAGAAAAATCAAAAATAAAAGAAATCTTTAAGTGCCCAACGGCAAAACTGGTGGCCAAATTGCCAACGATGGTGCCTGATAGAGGGGGGTTTGCTGTTTGCGGCGGTGGTTCTGGGTGTGCTGTGGTGTAGGTGGTGCACAACAACAACAACAATAACAAAAAATAAGCAGAAGGAGCCGCTGCTTATGGGCGTGCTGCAAGTTATCGCTTTTGTCGCCTCACAATTGACACATTTGCCCCTTCTGGCGGGGTCTTAAAAAAATCCGAAAATTCTGTTTGCCAAAATTAAGAATTTTAAGAGAATTTAAAAACAAGATTAGAGCTAGAAAAGTGCTGGCTTAAACTATTATTTAAGTTAGTTAAGAGCTTGATTAAAAGTATATATTCAGCTTCCTAAAAACCATGTTAAAATTTACTTTTTAGAGAAAAGAAAACGTGTTTCCCTGTGGAACTTCCTCTACGAAAACATAGCTGGTAAAGGCAACAAAACTAGATCAAGACCCAGTCCGACTTTCTGGCCAGGTTAAGACCTGCTGCTCTCATCAACGCTACCCATATTTCCCACATGTTTCTGTCTTGTGGTCATTAACGCTGACACTCGGATTGCAACAGCGAAGACTACTAAAAACCTAGTAGACCGATCCACCGACCTGACCTGACCCTTCTTCCACATTTTCGTTGCTTTTATGACCGGCTTCGGTCCAATATCTCTCTCACTCTATCCGTCTTAATTTTTCCTTGATTTCTTGGCTTGTTTGGACTGCTGCTGAGGCTGCTCATTTAGCAGGTGCCTGGCCTGCATATTTCCCGAAGGTGATACAAACAATTTGGTCAGCGGGAAAATAAAACACGAGTCACATAAATCTGGTCACCAAACGCCGCTGGCCGTAAATCTTTTGACATGGCCCAAAGGCCCATAAAACAGCCCTAATGATCTAGCTGGAATTTGAAGTTTTATGGAATGGGATTACTCAAGTGGGCGTTGGTGGTGTTGGAAAACGTAGCCATTCGAATTGCTTTTCTGGATTCTGGAGCAAGTTCGGGTTTCTGTTTTTTTTATAGCACTTGCCACTTAGCTTATCAATTAGCGGTTAAGTCAAGGGGAAAAGGGGTGAAAATAGGGGGGCTTAAGATGGGGATTGATCCACTCAATTATCGTGGAATCGAAAAACTACGAATACAGTGAAAAAAATCAATAAGCAACTAACATTTTTAAAGTTTGTCAGTTGAAAGCTGCAAGAATTGGGTACATTTTCAGGAATTATCTTTCAAAAACCGAGCTATATCTTCTGTATCTTAAAATATATACCTAATTTGCAACTTTCTTGACATTTCCCTCAGTGTACAGACTGCTCCACTTGCTGGCCTGCCTGCCTGCCCGGCCTGCAATTAAAATCCGATGACGCCGAGAACATCTAGCTTTAGCTTTTGGTGGTGGATCTTGGCTCTGGATGTGGGGGACCTGAACGTGAATCTATAGAATATAGTTCATAGAGGGTTAACTGAGGAGTGCTGCCTGTGCCCAGTGCATTTGGCGACGACGTCGACGACGACTTAGAATGCATTTAATTAAATTTGAACGTTAATTGCCGCTTTAAGGCGTCGCGCGTGTCGCCTCAATTGCCCTGGGTCTTTGAAAAACCCTTTCAAGTGGCCCTACCCCTCCAACCACCACCTCTCCTGCAGCTCTCAACCCATTGAAACCATCTCTATGGGGAAACCTCATTCCACCACCCGCAGCTTGAAGAGTCTCTTGAGAGAATTTGATTGTTTGATTGAATAAAAAACGAAGAAGAATGAAGAAAAAGCGAAAAGGAGGGGCATATTCCTTGATGTCTTGACTTTAATAGAAAAATTCAATTATTATTTATGCAGCTGGATGGGGATATTAAAAAGAGTGGAGAAGCTGTGTTTTTATGGTGGAAAATGTAAGAAAGTCTCGGGATATTAAGAACTAAGCTTGAACTTTCTTATGAATAGGAAAGTATTCTTGAAAAATATTCCTTAGTTAATAATAAGGGTAATGAAAAGAGGATATAGATATATCAATCTTAAGATTTATATACAAATTTCCTTCTTTAGTTTTGTATTTATCAAATTTTAAAGTCCCTTGCAAAACTTTTCAAGAATCTTTTTAAACATTTCCCTTCTTACTTTACTACTTTCTTCCCCTTTTTGAGTTCCCATCTAAATGAGCTTATCCTCAGACTTATTTTCGTAACCCCCCTCCATCGAGAACTAAAAAGAACTCCCCAAATTGCATTTGCCAGAATGGAGAGTACTTTGTTGTCTGGTTTTGGTGGCCCCTTCTGGTCCAGCTGTGTTTGCCTTTATTTTTCGTATTATTTTGTTGTTTTTTTTTTTTTTATTTTTCGGTTGCCTCGGATATTTGTGTATCTTATTAGTCATGATTATCACAAGTGTTCCCAAGTGTTCAACATCGACTTTGCCATCGCCATCGCCCTCACCCAATCCCCAATATGATATCTTTAAGTGGTGCAGCAGCATCGTCTGAGTCCACTCCTCAGCATATTTATTTATTATCATTTGTCTGCCACAAAAATTCAATTCATTTTCGTCTCCCCGATGACCCCTGTGCGTGAACCCATTTTCGTCTTGGTGGTGTAAATATTTATGGAACTGCTGGGGACAAAGATGGCTTGGAGTGGGTTTTGTCTGGAAGAGTTCTTGCCTTCTAGGATCGATCTGTTTCCGGGCATCGAATTCCGTTCCGATTTCGTGTTTCGTTCGTCTGGCTATTCAACTTGGAAAACTAATCTTATGGCGCTCAGTGTTAAGATAAGATGAAAGTGCTACCAATTAAATTTCGATTGTTAGGGCACTGAGGGAAATTTCATTATACGAGTTTCTTGATAGTTTAATCAGATGATGTGTTTAAGTAAAGGAATGTTTATGGAAAAGATAAAAAAAACTTAAATTTCTTCTAACATTTTAATAACCTGTTAACTTAGAGTTGCTGTTTTCTCTCAGTGAGTGGTTTATCGCTTATTTGATATTTGCAATTCGCTATTTGCCCCGGGGTGATTGTGCCGATTGTGCTGAGGTGTCGCCAGGTGAAGTTACTCGGGC